CAAGGGATGTCATGAGTGACAGTGCACTGGGCATGTCGCCGATTGATGGGCCCGAATCTATGGATGCTAGCTTGAAGGAACTGTCGCCCAGCGAAGAGAAGCTGCGAAGTATACTGAGTCGTATTTTGGGCATGAAGGAAACAGATATCAGGCCAAGTGATAGCTTCTTTGACTTGGGCGGAGATTCTATCGGTGCTATGCGTCTCGTTTCCGATGCCCGCGCTCAAGGCCTCAACCTGACGGTTGCCCAGGTCTTCCAAAGCAGCTCCTTGTCTGACCTGGCCGCTTCAGCAAGCAATGAACGGGAAGAAAAGCTGGCGGAAGTTCTTAGCCGTATCCTAGGTATGGCCAAGACCGATATCAAGAGCAGCGACAGCTTCTTTGAATTGGGGGGTGATTCTATTGGCGCAATGAGGCTGGTCTCGGATGCTCGCGCGCAAGGGCTCAACATCACAGTTGCACAGGTTTTCCAGAGCAAATCTCTTGCCGAGCTTGCTTCATCAGCTGAGGGAGAGGCTCCATCGCAACCCAAGGTTGATGTTGATGCACCTTTCATCGCGCTGGGCAAGGATGCCAACCTCCACAGCCCAGATCGTGTTGGCCTGTACCTTGAGAATCAGGAATGGGAGATCACAAATATCTACCCAACAAGACCACTGCAGCAACTCGCAGTTGAGGGAACTGTGGACCTACCACGATACTCACTGCGTTACGAGCTGATCAAATTTGCAACTCCGATTGACCGTCAGAAGCTGGAGCAAGCATGCCAGGAGCTTGTGGCACGCAATGAGGTTCTGCGCACTGTTTTCGTCAAAGACGACGAGTTGACGCTTGGTGTGGTTCTATCCTCACTGAGAGTGCCCTACACCGAGACTGCAGTCCCAGAAGGTGAAGACGCCGACGCCTTCATCCAGGCAGGCATCAAACAGGACATCGAGGCACCCAAGCCATATGGATCATCTTTTGTCGCCTTCAACCTCTTCACACATACCAACGGCGCCTCCACCCTCGTCTTCCGAATCTCACACGCCCAGTACGACGAAATCTGCCTGCCCATACTCTTTGAGCAGCTCTCCGCTCTCTACTCAGGGATCACAGTCCCCGAAACCGTGCCCTTTAGCAAACACGTCAACCACGTCGTCCTGGACAACATCCCCAAAGCAATCCCATACTGGACGAACCTCCTCTCCGGCTCCGAAATGACCGTCTTGAAACCCAGCATCCCACTCACCCACCGCGGCCCCGCAGACATCTACAGAGAATTCGACATTTCCCGCCGCCCCGCCAACATCACCATCGGCTCTCTCCCCACCGCCGCCTGGGCCCTCGTCCTCTCCCGCCGCCTCAACCTCACCGATGTCGTCTTCGGCGAAGTCGTCTCAGGCCGCAACGTCGGCGCCCCCAACGCCGACCGCATCTTCGGCCCCACATGGCAATACATTCCCTTCCGCGTACCCTTTTCCAAATCCTGGTCCTACCTCGATCTCCTACGCTACGTGCAGCACCAACACATGACCTCCGCCGCGTACGAATCCATGGGCTTCGGCGAGATTGTCAAGAATTGCACAACTTGGAAAGAGGACGAGGTGCAGTGGTTCGATACCGTCGTGCATCAGGCGCCGGCGTGGGTCGAGGAGTTGCCGTTTGGAAATGGCGTCGAGGCGAAGTTTCAGACGCTGTATCCGCATGGTGAGCCGTTGAGAGAGTGGAAGTGTCAGGCGTTTGTGAAGGAGGGGGGGAAGAAGTTGGGGATTGAGATTGTGACGTTTGAGGAGTGGATTGGGGAGGCGGAGGGGGTGTTGGAGGAGGTTGGGAGGGCGTTGGAGTGTTTGATGGAGGGGAGGGCTGGGGAGAATATTTTTTGAGTGTGAGGGGGGGAGAGTGTGAGGTGATTTTTGCTTGATTCTGGGGGCAGCTGATGATAGATTTCGTATGTAAGGTATTTGTAGTTTCTTGTACTTTTTAATGCAATGTTCTTAGTGTTGTGGTTACATACATGTTATATGATTCCATCTGCGTAACCGCTTGTGATGTTTCCTAGAATATTGAAGTTCTCCGGAAATATTGTGTACTTTGTTAAATGAAATCCTACAAGTCCAATATGGTTCACTCACCATAGCCATATCACAGAGCTGTCATGAACGCGGTACCTAAGCACGCAGCGTAACCCCGAATTAAGCTTGAAGCAATTGTGTTTTCCCAGTTACTTTGACAGGAATGCTGTACAAAACCCCGGCATATGTCGCAAAGTCCACCAGCATGCTCTAGCTTAATAGATCGTGGAACACAGTGTGCTTGTTGATGGGTGCGTGTATCATTTATGAAGCGTCGCGCAATATGCGATCGTCAGGTCTTGGTAGAATTAACGGTACCTGTTTGGGTCCTCTATACGTTGCATGACAGCGGGGAGGTGCATATATGTTTAAATTATTATACTCCTGTCCCTCTTGACAAGTCTCCTTAAAGTTATGACGATGAGCAGCATCTGGTATATCAATGTCTTCATCGGGAAACTTGGCATGCATGTCAATAGTAAAGTTTATTACCCTTGTGTTGTTGCAAGGGATCCATCCGATCTATCATTCCCCTGAGCTTCAGTCGTCGTCATGAAATTCGTATGGTACATACGTTTTCTCATTCCCGCAGCGACAGCTATGGCTGGGGGAGTCGAGCACGACGCAGAGGCCATTGCGGGCTCCACCCCAGAACCCCAAGCGAGCGCTTTCAAGTGCGACACCCGTCGAAAATTTTGCCTGGATGAGGTGGTATGGGCAAAAGGTACGTGGCTGTGCATCTCGATTCCACGCAAGCTATCCCTGCTCTCAGGACATGGATGCAAATATAAACTTTTCGGCCCGGCTGGCTTCTTACCAAATGGGTCAAACAGCCGTTCTGATTAGAGCCAGGCGTCGATTTTTAAAGACTATTGCACATATACTGCCGCGAACAATACGAACACGATGCACTTTCCTGCCACGGGTGTATGAGAACGCCATACCCCACACTCCACTGCGCAGCCTCTCCTGGCGCATGGAACTCGGCCTTCGCATGTATCAATGGGCAATATCATTTCGCATACCGGTGCAAGTACTGGTGCCGCGAAGGCACATTTTTGAACGAGTAGCAGAATGCTTTGGGATTTTGTCGAGGATATTCAAGAGTGCATACGTCAGCAAGGGGAACGGTAGCTACCGTACCGTTGCTTGAGGGTGACGATGCCGAAATTGCATGTTGCCGTAAGGTTTTGCTTACAGCCGATCAAAACAGGGGGACCGGTAATGAACGAAAATGTGTCATCATCCTGGTTGTTTTCACTCCGATTCTCGAGGTGTATTGGCTGAGCCTCATCGGTTTGGTTTTCTGGGATGCTCGAGGTCACCCTTATTCACGTGATGCGGCGTTCCACGTGGAAAGGTTGTAGAGTAGCGGTCGCTTATTCATCTTTTTGTCTCCTGAATTAGGCGTACCATTTTCTGTACATTTAGCCGCTTCTTCAGCGTATCCTTACTCCCTGATTGTCATAGGAACTATGGATTTGCTGGTCCGATCGCCTCTCATTGCAATACTTCTGGCTTTGGGTACTTTAGTCCTAGTGGCGACAGCGAACATCTTTGCATATTGTTCAAGACAATCTCATGGATATCAAATCCGGTGCATTCCCGATATCCCTAACTTGGATAAGTGGCGGAGGTATCTTTGTCAGCATTCGGCGTGGCTATGTTGATGGCACGATTTTGCAACGTTAAAAACACACGCACCAAATTTCCGACTTGTCGCCCCGAACCGATATGAATAGTTTGCATACTCTGAAGCGGTAGAGGATGAAATAGGGTTTATGGAAAATTCCATTCCCGCTCACTGGGTAGTCAACAAGGTGGACGACCAAGTGCAATTGATGTTGGCATAGCCACCTTTACGTCGAGAGAAAGGCATGACCGATGCTAGGAGGGCAAACTAGAGATGAGCCTTTCCACTCTATTCACAAAGTCACCATTTCATGGTTAGGAAAAGACCAGGCGGGATAAGATACACTACGCTTAGTGCACCTTTTTGACCTTTAGCTTTTCTATCAACCTGAAAAAGTCAAGATATCAAAACTACTACTCGTGTCGATGACTGGCAAATACCAATTTCTGGGGCGCCTCCAGATACTTTCTGTACTCCGAGACATTTTCACGAAGGCGAGTTACTGCTTCCGCAAGTGGATCAGTAGGGATGTCTCGATATCGACATTGACATAGCCATGAAAAAAAAGGTAAATTCATTCTGATCAACACTCATACAGTGAGGACACGTTTGGTACAGAATTCACATAGCCCTGACTACGCAACAGGCCATTCTGCCCTGTCTTCGCTATACGAGAAATGAATGCAGCAATGCTCAAAAGGCGCAGCCCGACATTGAGGCATCTTCAAACACACATCGTGAACAGTGCCAATGTCCAACTCTCGAAACGATAGCCCAGAAAGTAACTTCGTATGGTCGGTCAAGACTCTGGAAGAGCATGGCTGGTCCCAGGTATTACAGCACCCCGCCGACTCTAGACATCGACTCGGCTACCTTCCCTGCGCAATTCGGTACACATGTTCTTAGGGGCAAGGCTCTGGACTTGGATGAGAATCTCGCATTCGTTGGTGCCGTCTCAATATCAAGATTTCCAGCTCCGCTCTCATTTCAAAAAAGCACCAAAAAAACGTTGAGCAAATACATTCTTACACAGTCCCACATCATTTTAGCATTAACCTCCCATAATAAGACCTTTTTGCTGCCTGGGCGCAGCAACCAGTTCACATCAATTCATCATGGCGTATTCGGCGCGATTTGTATCATTTTAAAAGTCAAAAAGAGGATGAGCGCATAGAAGAAGAGTAAGTGTATACACAGGGTGTAAAATTATAGTATCTGAAAAAAAAAAACCAAAAACAGGCTTCTTGCGGAATGGAGTCCGAAAAGACACCCAAAGACGCGTCGCAAGGCATGAGACAATACAAAGGGAATATTTAGTAGTCATATTTGTAGCAGAGCGGCACGCTGAGAGTGTCGACAAGGTCCCTGATGGTGAGATCTGGCATCATTCCGTAGGTGTTGACCGTGGTGTCGAGAGTGAGAGGGTTGCCGGCGGCGTCGACTCCGTTCATTTGAGAGAGCCATTGTGGGTTCTTGTTGGTGTAGAGGCGTGCATTGCGGTCGATGAAGGCGTGGTGCCAAAAGAAGAAGGGTTCACAAGGAGAGGCCTGTACATCCATCATGGGGCCTCCGATTCCGTTGTGGCCGAAGGAGTGGTAGCCTACGAAGGTACATCTGGTGAATCCAGCATAGTCTGGGTAGTTGCTGCAAATGTCGACGTATTCTTGGTTGCAATTCTTGGTGAGGGAGCCATCACCGTTGCGCGACAGACAATGAGGCTGGTTGGATGAACCGGGGCCGACATTGCAGATAAGGTTGGCGAATTGCTGCAGACTTGAGTCAGTCGTTGGTCTGGGAATGCAGTATTGGTCTCAACTTACACCATCCCTTACACACTGGTTGTTGATTGCGAGGCCTCCAAGCCATCTGGAACTGAACAGAGAGGATGACGCGAAGCGGCCAGCATAGCGAGTTTCGTCGAACCAAAGCATGGGTCCATCGAACCCACATTCATTACGCATCATGCGCTCCATAAGAAGAAGCATAGCCCTGTGCCAGAAAATAAACTTGCCATTGGTGTGGATGTTGGGTGTGAGAACCTGGTGGAGCGCTGTCAAGTCTTCATATCGGCTTTTGGATTGGGAAAATTGACCCGAGGGAGAGCGGCCCATCAAGCACTTGATGCCATCGAAGTATTTTTGCCTGTCGGTATCGCTCGCTCGGTCCCATTCTACGCGGACACGAGGATTCGAGCATCTCTGGGCGCTCTGACGCTTTTCGTGTTTCCCAAAGTCAATCACCTCGCTGATGTTGAAAGTGTAATGCTCCAATTGAGCTCTCGCCTCCTCGATGGGCACCGCCGTGTGCGAATATTCCGTCTTGAAGGCCTCAGCGGGCAGCGCCTTAGCGACACCATTGAGCAAATCCGTCAGCAGGTTGGTAGCCTCATCGGATAACTTTGCCGTCAGTGCCGTGAGCGATCCTGCCATTACTTGGGGCGACGGGAGGGCGTTAACGCCAACGGTCATGGCCAAAGTGGCCGTAAGAAGTCCGGTCCGCATGATGAAGGCGAGGTGTTGTATTAGATGTAATTGTAGGTACGCGAATGGCAAAGTTGGTGAGAAATAAAACGAATGACTGTAGCCCAAAAGCGAACGGGAGCTGCGTATGGACAAGAAGACGAGCAAGCTGCCCAAAAGGTAAGAGATTGAACCCGGGCGGACCTGTCATCCTTATAGCTGGACCTGCATGAACCGGCCGCCTCTGCCTGTAGCGTGGGTGGGCGCTTTGTCCTGCAGATCATTACGGCCCACTGGCCCCAGCGGGTTCCCACTTTCGACACCTGGTCATGGGTTCTGGAAATACGGACAAAACGCTTCTTCCCTAGGTGGCCTAGGTCTGCAACGTTGTATTGGCAAATAAGTCAGCTTACACGAGCTATTGCACCGGAGGCGAATGAGAAAGGAGGCGCCTAAGCCGCTTCTGGCCTGTGGCTAATTCGACGTTGCCGAGCTTCCTTGTCAGGCTTACTTTGTGCTGCCCGGGAGTCTCCTAGTAAATCATAGCCTAGCTTCCTAACTCTTCTGCCGCGTACGAAACCAAGGAAAAATCGAGTAAGGACGTCGCCGGCGCCCGAATGCTGATGATGACGACGGATGACAAACGAACTGCTATCCTTAAGGGCGGTCTGCACATCTCCCTACAAGCCCTGTCTTGAGCTAACGATTCGATTCTGACCAAAGTTAGAACCCAAAAGCCGTATAGGTGGGCCGAGACATCGTGTTCTTCAACTTTGCTTTGGCGATTTGGTACTGTCCGGGACCCAGATATAGAACCATAGTAGACGGAACGGCCCTGTGCTATGCTCGGAACTGGCAGCACGTACTCCACGTGCGCCGCCATTGCCATGACCATGGCCATGTACCACGACTTGGCGCCTAGTCGTCATCGTTGGCAATTGACATATGCACATGAACTTTAACTGCCTCTCGGTGAGGGGAACATGATGCTCTTGGTGCCAACAAATCAACTGAATGGGCCAGACTACCGTGGACTCCCGGTAGCGGGGAAAAGGGCTGCATGCTATGACTTTTAGGAACCTTTGTGAAGAGCCAAAAGGGGCTATCGACGCCAGCTAATAGTGTCGTACGGGGCCAGAAGCCGGTACTTCGAATCGTCTCGGTCTGCGCATGTGTACACGTACACGTGTGGATGTATGTTTGCGCCCATTTGGCAACATTGTAGACAATCCCTTGGTGTGGAAGTACTTGCTCTACTTAGAACCGAAGCCCCGCAGATAGCGCCATAGTATTATGACCAACAGTGGGGCTGCAATTTCCGCTCGGACGATCTAGATAGTACTACTATTTTGAGCTCATGAGGATCCAAAAATTCAAATTGACCCTCGATACACCATCGTATTCTTAATCAAAGACCAACGAAAGATTTTGAGGGTTCGATATTCGCTGCGCGCCTGGTTCCATTGCAGTAGGACGAGCAGGAAGTGTGGCGTGAAGGATCCATCCAAACACCAATTCGTCGTATATGCTTACTACCCCACCTTGGCGCAATTGGACACGAGGAGGCAATAACGCTATACCTGTTTCTTTATCCTCATGGCTGCCAAAAGCCTGAGCCTAGTACTCACCAGACCATAGTGTACTTGTTTACGGCATCCACGGCATACGGTGCTATTTCCGTCACCGACTCTGTTTTTTGTCGAATGACTACGGCGAGAGTGTCAGGCAGCCAACACGCGACGTCTTCTGGAATCAAAAAAAAACGCATGTCTGTGCCGCAATAGGGCTTGCCTTATTCTCTCAATAAACGTGTGTCGCATAAGTGTTAAGGGATTCTGGTGGGGATGGAACAATTGGCATGGAACTGACCATCGGAGTGCGACACCAAACGAAAAATCACATTGGCAAAAACAACGCAGAGGTCCAAAAAGCCACCGATGACGTCTATGCGATACAAACTAGCATTCACCTGGCCTGACTTTGAAGGCGCTAACAGTCGCGGGTGCGTGACATATGTACTAAACATCATCAGCAAAGTTTACCAGTGCCATTGACGTGGTGCGCCACGGACGCCGCAATGAAATCTAGCACCAAGGAAAGCAAATGACCAGACGAACAGTACGAGGGTGTCTTTGCTCCTTCGCGGAATTCTTCCGCCATGGACTTTTGGCAATCGGGGCCCGCTGCACTTGCGCATGCTCGCCACAATTCCCGCAAAACGCTTTTGATGGACCTGTTCCGTTACGAGGAGCGCAATCTCAGCCGAGGACGTACCAGCCGTGGCCCTGCTAATGCAACCGTTACAAGAGCGTGGGTGTAGTAACCCACTGATTGGACTATGCGTTTCAACGGATTCCTGTGCAATTTCGTTGCTTGTTGGATTGTTTCCCAGATGCGTCGCTGTGGCGTTCCTCTGCCATTATCCCTGCATTCTGTGCGCAACAACAAAAACAAGCAATGGCGCTTTGTGTTAAATGTGGGTGGGCTGAAACCCACTCTGGCGTTTTCAGCCCTGCCAAGTCTCACTCCCTCCTCTATCCCCACCACATGAGATCGCCCAGAGACAGCAAAAAGAAAAGAAAAACAGCCAAAATCAAACCGCTTTGGTGTGTGTGGCTTCGAAACACGTTTCTTCGCGCTGATCGACTTTCAAGCAAGTCTCTTGAGCATCCTTATATCCTGCGCTGCTGATCCCTGACCCCTTCGCTTGGTCAGGAGACGCAACCTCTACGTCCATCACGATTAATCTGCACAACCGTTTTGTGTAACTTCAGCACAGCCACTTTCCTATCACAGCAGACATGCGAATCCCGGTCTGTAGGGGGCATTCTGCACAAAGGAAACACAGGGTCCGCTGTGTTACCCGACCATCTCGGTGTCCACATCGCGCGTGCAATCATCCGCCCGACAAGAACGCCGAGATTTCGGATCTGGTGCCGAGACTTTTTTACGCTCTTAGTGACCTATCACTACTCGAGCGATGGCAATCTTTCTCCTTTTATGGGCTTCACAGTACTCCTTTCGTATTGAACGTGTCTTGGATGCTGACTGTATCGTCGTCATGATCGTGGCTGTCAACCGCTAGAAACCTTGCATCACCAACAGTCACCAAGCACGGATTTAGGTTTGATGATTTGCTGCACATGCAAATCTGGGTTCGGGTAGTGTTCCTTTGCAGATATCAAAACTACCAATGGAGCAAGACTGGCCTTTCTTCTATTCAATGTTCGCACTCCAAGTAAGTAGGGGATGCCCATGGTCATACCATCCCTCTTCTTCCACCTTTTTACCGGCACAAACGTTGGGCCGATTACAAGAGTAAACCGTCTAGTCTGACACGAAGCAAATTTTTCTTTTCCGGTGGCTTTATCCTTTTTTTCGAATATAAAAAACAGAGTTTGTGGAAACTCTGTACGTCTCGCTAGCACCTCGCCCAGATAGGTTGCCTGCAAAATATAGTTCATTTTAGCCTTTTTGGTCTTGATTATACATGTAGATACAATTTTCACTCTCCTGCTTTTGCGAACGAATCTTCGTACTTTTCGGTGACTCTTGGTACCGCGTGTGTCAACTGACCGGTGGCGCGCGGCACGGTTGCCGGACACGAGTGCTGATGATAAGCTAGAACTTTCAGCCGGACCAGAATAATGTCGTATGATTTGGTCTATTTAGAGTGTTATTTTGTGGATAGAAATATACATGGTATGACCGAGGGCAGAAATAGCAGGTTGCTTTTGATGTTACTCAAATGTCAAGACGAAATCGCATAATAAAACTAGCAAGCTCACTAGATATAGTGCCAATATATTGTTTATAATCTACTGCCTCAATAATCCTCTAGAATTCACGGTATTTTATAAAGTACTACTCTTATCATGTCTAGTATTTTATCAACTCCAATTATCAGAACATTAAACTACTTCGTCATCCTCTTCGTACATGTTCAGTATCTAGGTATATTGTTTATATTTCTGATCTTGAGCCAACAGGGCGACTTCATAGCCAAGATCATTGAATTTAAAGTCTTTGTTGGATATCTCGCTATGCAACGAGCCCCTCCAAGTAACGGCTCCCTTCTGTTTCCATGCGTGCTTTAAGATCAATGTTCGCCCTGTCACAAAACGCTCACACAGTTTACAAACACTATTACGACCACTATCTAGCGTGGCCACCAATTTCTTCAAAAAACTTGAATAGCCACTTAATGGAGATTTAGTTTAACGAAGCTGATCATGCATGAATGGGTTATGGAAAGACCAAGTATATGGCATATCTGAATGGTTCACTCACCAGGCTGCTAATGATTAGTCTACACTTGGTTCAAGTCTTGTCTCCAGACATCGCTCACAAGCGCGAGTATAGTATTCCTAGAACCATGACCCGTTATTTCCAGCCGCCAAATTGTAAGTAATAAATCAAGAAAGATGCTTGTATTATAGGAATCTTAAAAAGTATTATGTCCATTAAAGGTAGCTAGTAGAGCGTGTCTACACTCCTCTTGCACTTACTTTGCGTCACCACAGGAGCTCAAAATCTAAAGGCCGCATTGTAACTGCTCTATGAACAAGCTACCAAATGGATCCTCTTCAAATGTTCGCATTATATTCGCCCACTATTCAGCATCAATGATGGATCCGCTGGGACACGACCCGGAAACTGACTAGCCACATGCGACCCAAGTACCTCGGCATCTCCCCATCACAAGCTCCCTCAGCCGAACCACGTCCATACGAACCGACAACAACACATAGCTTTGCCACCCACGCGACACTTGACCCAGCCATTTGCAGGAGTTTAGATAAAGTCTGTTCGCCTTCGCAAGTAGAAAATAACAGATATACTATACGAATAGAAAGAGCAAGGAACAACAAAGAAGCTAAACGATACAACGACAACATGGCAGAGGCATACCAGAAAGAGTTCTTCAACGTTTCATTCCCAGCGGAATATGTGGCGCACGTTGAGATTAATCGCCCGGAGAAGATGAATGCGTTCAAGGAGGTGTAAGTATACAATTTCATTCTTTTGTCGAATTGCCGAGCGTATGCAGGTCGAAGAGCAAGTACATACAAGAACATCTTCAACCGTGATAATGTCCAATAAAAAAGATGAACAAGTACATACTGCGCATACAAGACAACCCATACCTCGCAAAAAAATCTCACACTCTCAGCAATCCCACCCTAACACAACCTCCAGCATGTGGCTCAATCTCTCCGCCATCTTCCGCCAACTCTCCCACGACCCCAACGTCCGCGCCGTCATCCTAACCGGCGCTGGCGACCGCGCCTTTACAGCCGGTCTAGACGTCCAAGCCGCATCCAACGACGGCGCCCTCGCGCAGAAAGAAGGCGAGACACCACTAGACGTAGCCCGCAAAGCCACCGTGAACCGGCGCCACATTCTCGAATTCCAAGATTGCATCACCGACATTGAAAGATGCGAGAAGCGTACGTTCCAACATCACTTCCCTCATAACTCAATTTCTCATTCATTCAATCAATTGAACGAGAGAAGAAGAAAAAAAAATTGAGGGTTCATTTTTACTAACGTAAAGCCAAAGCCGTCATAGCAGTCCTCCACGGAATATCCTTCGGCCTCGCCCTCGACCTCTGCCTCGCCTGCGACGTCCGCATCTCCACCACCACTACCAGATTCTCCGTCAAAGAAGTCGACATCGGCATCGCCGCAGACATTGGCACTCTGTCTCGGCTCCCCCACTCCGTCGGCAACCTCTCCTGGGTCAAAGACATCAGTCTCTCCGCCCGTATTTTCCCCTCGAGCGAAGCTCTGCAGCACGGACTCGTGTCGGCCGTGTATAAAGACAAGGCCGAGGCCGTGGCTGAAGCGACCAAGTTGGCGGCCACGATTGCGACCAAGAGTCCTGTAGCGACGTTGGGGACTAAGCATATTATTAATTATTCGAGGGATAGGACTGTGGCCGAGGGCTTGACTTATACGGCCATTTGGAATGCGGCGATGGTGCAGACGGATGATGTCAAGGATGCGCTGTTGAGTGGCATGCAGAAGAGGACGCCCAAGTTTAGTAAGTTGTAAGATTTGATCAACAGTCAAAGAGAGAGAGAGAGAGAGAGATTTAGCTGGTAACAGAAACTTGTGTAAACAACAAAAGCAGAAAATGTGTAGCTCACATGCAACTTGACACATGAAGTGATATACCTCTTTTTGATATTGATGTGCACATCATAACAACTCACTTCACTCAAGAGAGAATATTACATCACACACACACACACACACAATACACACAGCGATACAAGAATGCTTTTACTGTCAAAAGAATTTCCCTAACATCGTGCCTTGAAAAGAAAACAGCCGTCCGAGCATCGCTCTGAGATGAGCTGCAACTGAGTACCGAATCTCAGAAAAGCAGTCATCGAGCGTCGCTCTGAGCCAGCGCTACAAAGACGCGACGACCATCACACGGTGATGATGTTCCATTGTTGGACTTTGAGATTTTTCATTGACTCTAAGCGCCTAGACGTGTTAATGCCGGAAGAGTCCCAAACCCATCCCGCATGAGCATCAATCATAACCCATGGCATGCTACAGAAGATGTGGAATCGTGATTTTCCCGTTACGCCCCATTGCACTACCCAACATGCACTACCTTATCCCCGTGCCATGACACCCCAGCAGCGGATACGGTTGTCAGTGTATCCAGCGAACAGGGTCTGGCCGTCGGCGCTCCAGGCCAAGGAGACACACTCAGGCTCACGGCTCTTCTTGCCAACCTCCATGTACTCGGGCTTCAGCTCATCAACCTTGCTCTTCTTCTCGAGGTCGAAGATGATGATGCTGGAGGCGGTGGCAGCGCACAGCCAGTAGCGGTTGGGCGAGAAGACAAGGGCGTGGATCTCGTCACCGGCGGACAGGGAGTAGAGGTGCTTGGACTCGTTCAGGTCCCAGAGCATGGTTGTTCCGTCCTTACCACCGGAGGCGCACAGGGAGCCATCGGGCGAGATGGTGACGGTGTTGATGTAACCGGTGTGACCGATGTGGTCGGTCTGGATGCGGCAGGAAGCAAGTTCCCAGACCTGTTTAATGTTAGCTTCTTGCGGTCGAATAGCTTGGCAGTGAATCGAGGAGAGAAGCATCAAATCAGCACTAGGTGATAATTGTCTCATAGCCGAGGCTCTGAAGTAGCAAATACATAGAAAATCATCATAAAACGAGGGTGGGGGTTGGGTGTGAAAAGGGCCATGTTCACGTACCTTGACGAGCTTGTCCCAACCAGCTGAGACAATGACAGGGTTCTGAGGGTTGGGGGAGAAGCGAACGCACGAGACCCACTCGGTGTGGCCCTTGTCGGTGATGGTGTACTTGCAGTCACCGAGGGTGTTCCAGAGCTTGATGGTTCGGTCGCGCGATCCGGAAACGATCTGGCGGTTGTCGGCGGAGAAGGAGACGGAGAGGACGTCGTTGGTGTGGCCGACGAAGCGGCGGGTGGTGACACCAGTGGAGAGCTCCCAGAGGCGGAGGGTCTTGTCCCAGGACGAGGAGAGGGCGTAGGCGCCGTCAGAAGAGATGACCTGTGCAGCAATTGTCAGCTCAGCTTTTCTCGCTTCCTAGCTAGCCAATTGCCTTGTGTGTGCGGGTGAACATACGCAGTCGGACACGATGTGGGAGTGGCCGTGGAGACTCCTCTTGGGGTAACCGTACGAGGTCTCGTCGCGGGTCAGGTTCCAGATGATGAGCGTCTTGTCACGCGAACCGGACAGGAGCATGTTAGGGCTGGTCGCATGTCAGTAATTGCGCGTCTTGGACGGTACAGGATGTTTTCGGGGATACGCACTTCTCCAGAGAGGTAGCAAGGGAGGTAACCCAGCCAGAGTGGCCCTCGAGGGTACCACGGAGTACGAGTTGCTCGGCCATGATTGTGATGAGTGGCTTCTGCTGAGGATGGACGTGGGCGCACTCGGATGTTGATGGACAGTCCTGAAGTTGTTCGACGAGGAGCGCACAACGGGACGTCGAAATTGCGAAATAGACGAAGGCGCTAGGGCCGGATGTGGACTAGCGCCAAAGCACCAGCCTTGCAAGCCCATCGACTGTGAGTGGGTAAGCGAAGCCCTCTGTACTTTTCTTCCGAACGCAGCATTGATGCTGAGTTTCTAAATGAGATGATTGTGTATGTGAAGGCGGGTGATTCTGACGTACCTCGACTTATATCAGAGCCGTTGCGACCACAAAATCTCGATCAATCTCGGGTCAAAACTAGAGAAACTTGCTCAAGTCTTCGGGTTGAACTAACTGTGCGACGACTTCTGGCAGCCCATGCCTTTGGCACTGGTTTGTTTCTCCTGCACTGAATCCAAGTCGTCTGCGATGATTCGTCCCTGACCTCCTCTTTCTGTAGCTGATGATCAGCTCCATGTGCGACCAAGTCCACTAACTCCGAGACAACTGGGTTATCTCCGTGCTCCTTGCCCATAGCAAAGAAGCCACGCGCAGCGCCGAGCGGAAGCTTGGTATGGCACTTACTAATACATAGTCAGTATGTCTTCCACTGGCAATCCATGCATATAAGCATGAGCGGGATCAATCTGTTGCGTTCTTGATTAGCCACAGCGATTTCAGCTCCCAAGTATCTGGCACATACCACAAAATGGCATTGGAAACCCCTATCACAACAACCAAACTGCTACTCTTGGGCGCCGGGGAATTAGGAAATGCAATACTCACTCATATTTCTGCACTACCATCCATACACATCACTCTCGGCATCCGCTCTCCATCCAAACACACCCACTTGACCACTTCCTACCCTTCCCTTACTTTACTTCCAATCGACCTCTCCGGCCCATCTGCAAGCCTCTCAGAAACCTTTGCGAATTTTGACATTATTGTCAGCGCGACTGGGTTCGGTGCAGATCCGACCACCGTTGTAAAACTCGCACGAGAAGTTCTGGGAGCCGGATCTATAAGGAAGGCAAAGGGTGAGAGCGATTTATGGTATTTTCCCTGGCAGTGGGGCGTCGACTACGATATCACTGGTGATGGGCAGGGGCTGATGCCCTTGTTTGGCGCGCAGCGTGACGTTCGCAACCTTTTGCGGGAGCAGGGCGAGGAGAGCAATGTCATGTGGACCGTTGTTTCTACTGGCATTTTCATGTCTTTTCTCTTTGAGCCATTCTGGGGTATCGTAGACAGGACGCACGAAAAGCAGGGCAAGCTGGTGGTAAGGTGCTTGAGAGATTGGGACCATAGGGTCACCATAACAGACGTGGACGATATTGGAAGAGTGTTGGCGAGGATTGTCAACGAGGACGTCGAGGCAAAACGGCGTGTGTTGTATATTGCTGGAGACACACTGAGTTACGGACAGCTGGCTGAGCTCGTTGAAAGAGTTAGCGGGAAAAAGGTTGAGAGAGAAGAATGGACAATCTCACATCTCGTGGACGAGCTCAAGGCAGACTCGGACAACGACATCAAGAAGTACAGGCTAGTCTTTGCGAGAGAGGGAGTGTGGTGGAGCAAAGAAGAGACAGTAAATCACAAGTTGGGTATGTGTATGATGGATGTCGAGACTTACGCGAATAAGATGTTTGGAAATAGAAACACTGGCCAGGAATAAAGCTAATTGGACGAGTTTGACACCTGTTTTGACAACGCCTTTTGTATATTGCACCAATACTGCTGAGTAAGTATGACCACATCAACCGTGAGATTGCTGAAGGAGTGCAGTGGGCTATGAATGAGACGCACACATGCCTCGGCTCCCATAGCGCTTTGTGCCCACCGCAAGCCTGGCGTGTTTATAGTTGTGTCCGCTTGAATCTTGTTGGTAGCATGGTATTTGCGCCTGTAGCAGCTGAACGAGGCTCTGTTCCTCCCCAACCCCATGTAGACACATTGGATATATCATCTTCATCCTCTCTCTTTCTCTTTGGCCCTCCACTGTCAAATGTAAGCACATGTTGATCATGGCTAAAGTCGGTTGGTACTCCTGTCTGCGCATCGGACTGCTCCTAACGTCCCGGTGGTCCAGGGGGATATCTGCCAGGTGGTCCTCCGGGAGGTCCTCCGGGCGGCATGCCCATACCACCTGGTGGTGGAAATGGCATACCTCCAGGTGGCGAGCCAGCATTACCCGGTGGCGGGAAGGGGAATGGCGGCATCCCTTGAGGAGGTGGGCCACCTCCCATGTGGGGTGTTGGGAACGGGGGCATGTTTGGGGGCACACCACCAGGGCCTGGAGGCATACCGTTGGGCGGAGGGAAAGGCGGCATTCCGTTGGGGGGCATAGGTGCTACCATAGTTAGTCACAGGGCTCTGTATGTTCGGAGTGCGCTGACTTACGACCACCACGGCCCATGAACGGTGGGGGCATTCCAGCCATGGGTGGCATTCCTGGGTCATGTGAGCATCTTGATCCTCTACTTCAGGGTTGTGTAAAACGTACCTGGCGGTGGGAAGCCGGGCATACCCATCGGAGGCATACCAGGCATACCGCCCATTGGGCCCCCAGGAAATCCTCCGTTTAGGTTTTGTTGGAACAGAGGATTTGCCTGGCCTTCTGTGTTGTATGCATCGGTGATACTGTTGATGACTTGCTGTGTCTGGTCGCTCGAGATCTGCTCGTAGTATGCCTGAACGTTACGGAGGTGGTTGCGGCCGTTATTGTGCGCCTTGCGCACGCTCATACTATCGTGAGTGAGGTAGACATCGCAGTAATCGCAGAAGAACTTGGGCATCGTGACTTCGCAATCGATTTGGTCGTTATGTGTGGAGCGCCGGGATTCGCGGATTGAGTTGTCGAGTTGCGCGCCGGGTGGTGAGCGCGTCGCAAGAGCTGGACTGGAAGAATCTCAAGCTAGTCGGCAACACTTTCGCCGACAGTCTTGGCGCTGCCTTCACACTACCGTATGGAACCAGTCGGTAAAGCACTTGACTGCAATAAGAATTATCCATTGGAATTAAAGCTTTGTACTATCATTTCTGATATTTCTTTTTGTCGCAGTATCAATGGACGGATCGATCAGTGATCAATCCATCCCGAGTCACATGATCCATCCGATCAGTGATCAATCCATACCGGGTCACATGACCCGTCCGATCTTTTTGACCATCTGATCTTTATCAGATAGTATGAATGATGGATCAGGTGATCAAGAGGATAGATCACCAGAAGAAGTTAGACGTAGATTAGCAGTATATAGTCTCACTGATCTACTGATCTAGATCAGCAGATTAATCGGTCCATCATCTCAATACATTCCATTTGTTCAGAGTTCTCAGCTCCCACACTTTTGTATTGCTATCAACATCTTGCTGACTGCCTCCGTCTTTGTGTACTGTCTCACGTGACTTGTCAGGACGAAATGGACTTGTACCTGTAGCGAGGCGGCTCTTGTCAAGTAGACATGGCTTGTTGAGAAAGAGGCGTATATATATACGCGTATTTGTGCCAGGGTTGAGTCAATGGAGGCTACTAGTCACGCCGTTGACTAGCATACTATTGTGATAGTATTGCACTACACTCGACGAAAAAGGATGAATGAGCTTTTTTTATTCCTCCAAATTCTTTAGAATTTCTTCATTCTAGATCACGGTGCTAGCTGTGTACGCTTAATGTACTAAGCACGTCCCTTTTCGATAAGTGGCTGTTTGGATGACGAATTATACTAAATTAACCTATGGCTTGTGGTCAGCTTGAATGTAGGTTTTAATTTTTCCTCTACAGCCCTCCTACCTTGTACTAGATTTTCGCTTTGTCTCTTAAATTCCTTGTCTATTCCATCATCTCAGAAGTGCCAGTAGCGAAGTCTTGAATACTTGAAGTCTATAGCGCATACATAAAACCTGTACCAGAATCTACGAGACATATTGTTTTTCCAAGCATCATCGTCAAGACTTCATTCGGGCCTACCTTGGCGTCTATAATAACTTGTCTTACATGCAGTATAGAGTGGGTCAATACTTATTTAAAATGAAATATTTTCATTAGAAGATATGGTAGCGATCGGCGGTGAGCAATAACATTAGTTAAATGAGTAGTTAGTACGAATGTAAGTTTTGGTTATTCTGCATCATCATTTCACCTTTCCGTTTATAGGGTGAGGATGATCCAATAATGTGTATCTTGAATTCTATTTCTTTCTAAACGAAGCGATGCATGTACACTTATACGTGTAGGGGCTTACACAATATTGCCTTTGCATCATGATTTATAACGGACATTTGGCTCTGTTCTTGAAGTCGAATTTGTAGAGTAATAGTAACGTTAAAGTCGGCCCGTGTGGTCTTAGACGCCCATGTCCTTGTTATACGAATTCAAGTGCAGCGGGATTATTCTTGATACTCGAATTCCAAATATTCGACTTTCAGATCAAATATAAGAAGAGAGAACTCTTGCGAGGAAGGATTCATGGCTTGGTTGGTATGCTGTCTCAAAATCAGCGGGAATTGCCAGTCCTCATTTATTGTTGCAAACTAGCTGGTACGTAACACGGGAAATAGCAGCCCATCACTGCCAAGCGGTGCTTTACGAGTTGATCCACAATAAGTAAGCACAATGAGTCGCGGCTATGTTGGAATTCAGTTCATCTCATGAGGTATTTAAGGGAATGGGGGTTCTGTTGATTCCGCCTAAAAAGCATCGGAGAAATCGCCATTCATACCACGACAAACAAAGACATTGAATTTGAACCAGCCCTCACTACAATCACGCTTCAATATGAAATACATATTGGTGCTCGCGGCAATGCTACCAGCCGCCTTTGCAAACTGCAAACCAAATAATACCTCCTTACTGGGTGATTGCGTGGGGTGGTGTTCGGACAGAAACTCGACCCCGAGCACGATCCAATCATGCCTCTTGGCGAATTGCAACACTTGCAAATTAGGTGGTAAATAATTTTGGTAAGTGCATGGAACACTGGCGATGACGTGTGCTAACCATTGATGCACGTGTAGAAGTTGCAATGCCAATGGCTGACGTTGATGAACGATATATTTGGAGAGGAGACGTTTGCGGGGATGGGAGGGTTGTTTGAATAAGGGGGATGAGGCAATATGTTGGAGGGCTATATGCCAACTGATGGAACGGAGATTGTGGAGGTAGGAAGTAGGAACATCAATGCATTCAAATGTATACATACCCCCAAAACAGCACCGGGCATTGTGTGAAGACCAGAAAAGTCTCAGTACGTACAACAATGCGAGTTTCCAACTCATTGAAGCACATTGGGACGTCGTACTGGCGTTGGAGAGTAGTGTTTGAATGACAACGCCATGCGGAGGTTGATCAAGGTATGATGTTCTTTCCTTTTCTATAAAACCGGAGTCGTAGTACAAGCATGATAGCGTGAAGGTCACAAGTGGAAGATTTTTGGTATCGTGTCACAGGTATTGTACAGTTGGTTGGAAAGGAGCCGTCATGATGGCCGCTTGGCCGGGGCAGGAGTCCAGCCTTGTGGTTGCCAATCCTGGCTCTGTGCAGCTTGTCTCCACGGCGAGTCGGCTGGCTCTTTGGCCTTTGCCTTTTTAGGTCTTGGTGCCGCTGTGTCTTGTATGTCTTGTTTGCCATTTACGGGGGAGGGGGCGGTGGTAGGATGCTGCGACTGCAACGGCAGCACGGGCTGTTGTTTATCCGGGGCATCGAGGGCCGAGGGTTTGGCAGCCCATTTGGCATCGGCTTGGGCTGCTAGAAGTTTGATGCGCTCCTGTCGCGCCACGTCTTGCTGCTGTTCGGCAATCGTTGGCGGGTCGAAGCGCGTGTGTCGTAGCCATTGCATCCATGAGGCTGATGAGGCGGTCAGTCAGCCAGTCAGTCAGAGCAGGTTGGGCAGAGGCAGGTGAAGGGCAACCAACGCGATATTTGCACGTCGCCATAGTGCGTGCTGCGGCTATACTTTGCAATTCTCCTATTGCGCAGCGAGTGCAGGGCGTCCTTGAACTCCCAAAACGTGTTTCCGTGGAGATCAAAACCTGTATTGATGTCGTGTCAAAGCAAAGCAAAGATAGAAGCAGGGATAGGCTTGGGCGAGGCACACTCACCAACCAGCCACTTTTTGCGCCATGGAAACCGCTGCATCTTCCACTGATACCATGCTCGCCTTATGGGGCCTGGGGCGCCCGCCATTGTGGTATTTGTGTACTTGCTTGACTAAGGGGGGGAATTGGTTGGCGGCGGATGGATGGATGAATGAATGGTGTATAGGATATGTGGATGTGTGACATGCACAACATAAAATGCAATACCAAAAACCGGTGACGTTGACACGGGTGGCGGGTGGCTGGTGCGCCCGCCCGCGCCTTCCTTGTGTCCCCACCCATACCACCAACACAACACACACATCTTCTCCACCCATGCACTTATGCCAACGCTCAAGTGCTGACTGGCTGACTGGCTGATATATGCAATTCTTCATATCAATCCTCTCTCTCCCTCCTATTCCCCAAACACCATATATACGGCAGACCTGCTGTCGCCTAGATAGATAGCTACATAGTGCATCTATTCCATCCTGCCTGACGAGTTACTTCTTCCCCTCTACCGCCCGCTGCCTTGCGTGCCCAACCACCACCGCCAAACCCCCCTACACCCAACCCTTGATTTGCGCCCGACTCGCCCTTCATGGCGTCTGTAACCTCGCTGGACCAGGACATGCGCAAACTGCGCATGGACAGGTACACCCCCAAAGCAGCAAACGAAGTGCGCATATGGATTGAAGACACATTGGGCGAGCGACTGCCGCCCGGCGATCTGCTCGACGCCCTCAAGGACGGGACCGTTTTATGCAGGTGAGCCGACCTTAGAGGAAAGCAACCAAACGGCCGGATCCCGAAAGCTGACTGCAGCAGACTCGTCAACTTGGCTACACCCGGCGCTGTCAGGTTCAAGAAGAGCCAGATGCCTTTCATTCAGATGGAGAACATCTCCCATTTCCTCCGCGCATGCGAACAGCCCCCACTAAGCATGCCCGCCCACGACCGCTTCCTCACCGTCGACCTCTATGAAGCAAAAGACCCGGCCCAGGTCTTGCAGTGCCTCAGCGCCTTTAGCCGCGTAGCTAACGCCCACAACCCCTCCCAGTTTCCCACCGTCATAGGCCCCAAGCGTGCCGCCCCTGGCCCTCTTAGCCCCTCTTCTACTGGAGGCGCTGGTCCCAAAAGTCCCGCCCTCACATCGCCTGGCTATGGCCGAAGCAGAGGACCAAGCACAGCCAGCAACACCAGCGGCTCCAGCACTTTCAATCCCCTCGCCCGTCCCACCACAGAAAGGGCCCTTAGTGCCGCCCGTACCGGAGGCTCTGATACCTCACATGCCTCGAATGGCCTCCCCAAGTCGCCGCCTGGCGGGGTGAGCAGCTGGAGCAAAAAGGTCGATGAGGGCAGCACAGCACCCGCATGGAATATTCATCAGTATGGCTACATGGGCGGAGCCAGTCAAGGAAATCAGGGCATCGCGTTCGGTGCTCGCCGCCAAATCACCAGCGCCGGCCCCCATGTGCCCAACATGGCAGAGAAGGAGCGCCTGCGACGAGAAAAGGCTGCCGAAGAAGAGCGATTGCGCCAACAGGCCGAGGAAGCTGAACACAAACGTCGCATCGAACGTGAAGCAGAAGAGGAGCGTATCCGCATTGAAGAGGAGCAAAAGTGGGAAGAAGAATCGCGCAAGCAACAAGAGGCTAAGCAGGCGCGCCTCGACCAGCAAAAGCGTGAGTGGGAAGAGCAGGAGCGGCAATGGCAGCTTGAGGAGGAGCAGCGCCAGCGCGAGGAGCGTGAGGCCATGGAGAAGATTGAGGCCGAGACTCGACGGAAGCGTGCAGGCAGCGATGCTAGGCTCCGGGGACAGTTTCTCAGCCAGTACCAGGCCGAACAAGCCAGCAAACCGCGCAGTCGCCGGGGAAGCAGCGAGGAGCCGAATGCCGAACGCGAGCGCATACGAGAACTTGAGCGCCAGCTTGAGGAAGCCAAGGAGAGGGAACGACAGTATCAAGCTGAGCGTGAGGGTCGTCTGCAGGACAAGAAAGCGCGCGCTCGTTCAAAGAGTCGTGCACGCGACCGATCCCGGAGTCGCCCCAGGCCACAGCCCCCGCCACGCGCCCCCTCACCTCAAGACAGCAATGCTTCCTGGGCACATGCAGATGACCGCGAGTACCTGCGCAAGCAATGGGACCAAACACAAACCCAGTCACCACGACCTTTACCAGAACCTACCCCTGCTGCCCCTTCTCTCCCAACCCGCCCACTGCCAGAACCATCCGCTCGACCCCTTCCCGACCCTTCAACATATACCAAACAAAACCGAACTGAACGTTACCTAGCCTCCAACCCACCACCAGCACCTCCAAAGCCCCAGACCCACATTCCACCGGAGCTCACTTCTACCTCAGAGCAACGAGCCGAAGACGCCCGCCGGGCTGCGGCTCAAACCAAAACAAAGGCTCTTGGATGGGCTTCCAAGTCACTCCTCGAGCGTGAGATGGAGCGTGAGCGCGAACGCCAAAAAGAATGGGAAGAGTCTCAGCGCGCGCTGCAAGAAGCTTCCAAAGATCCCAACGCGGGAAGTGGTTCCGGGCAGAGTTGGGACGTTAACCAATACGGATATATGGGCGGTGATAATCAGAATAAGCTTGGTGGTATTGGCGCGGGGAAGAGACAGATTATTGGACCTAGGCCATTTGGGCCTCGTTAGGGAGTTGAGTAATCGTAGATAGAAAATAATATTCAGACTCAAGGAGCAGATTACTCGATTGCGTATCATGGTGATGACAAGGGACTTGGGGTAGTGTGACTAGCCATGAGGATAAAGAGCAAAGTGAAGGTGAAGGTGATTCATCTAAGTTTGTGCGCGCAAACTTTGGACAACAAACGCATGTCTTGCCTTACTTTGGGATTGTCTAACTCCACGAACAATAGTCATCAGTAACCACACCATGTCGGATAACAGCGAGCCAGCGACAGCCGGAGAAACCAACAAGCAGATGACCACTGCTACGCTCTCCTCCAACATCACCGAATCTCTTCCTCAACCCGCCCGGTACCGAAAATCATGTGCTGCTACTCCACGGTCGGTTCCTGGAACGACGCAATCGCTTGCGCAATTCGAAGTTAGACTCTCCGTTATCACATCGGCCAGTGTCGCTAAAGATCTCATCAACACGATGCGCATCCTCATGCAACAAGGAAGCCGCCGAAGACAATTGGTCGAGCCACGCCGACAAAAGATCCGGGACTTGGTTAATGGAATGGAACATGTGGAGATACAGAAGCTGTACGAGGAATTTGCGAGAGTACATAACGAAAGAGAGAACAGGTCGACATTCAGACTACCGCTCTTGGATCGTGCCCAAGAGAACGGAGACGATCCGGTGAACCAGGACACTACCGATACAACATACAGGCTTGAGATGGAAGTAGCTAACAACCTGAACAACGAGATAAGCAACAACGGTTTGGGACGTACCGAGATAGTAGAAGTAGCGGAGCATACCTCGAGGACCATTGCACAAGTGTTGAGTTCTCCTGACACCATGACATCTCGCGGTGCAACAAAAGGATCCTCGCCGCTCCCAGCGCCTTCACCACCATTGGATTCATCATCCACTCTCGAGCCAAGCGACACTACTTACGACGAGGAAGTCCATGGTGCTTGCACAGTAGTCCCAATTCAGAACCCCAGAGACTTCCCTTTGAGACGTATACAAAAGGTCCAAGCCGACTACTACCCCTCAACACTCATGACTGCCATGTGGGTGCACCGTAACCAGTCCAACGAAATCACCCAGGTAACCGGCGATCTCGACAAAGGACCTGTTAACCATATCATCATTCATGATCAGCGCATCATTGAATCTCTCGGTCTTGGTGAGCCACCATTCGACATCATAACTCTACAACCCCCAAGCCGTGTAGACGAGACATACGACATACGTATCCTTCCAGGCCAAAACCCTGAAGATCTTGATTCCTGGGTTGTTGGCGAGCTCGTATCCGCTCGACACGCGTACCTGTATTGGCTTGATGGCAGACAATGCTCGGATCCAAAGACACCGCCTACTGTTGCTGAAGCGAGGGCTATAGCTACAAAGACGGGCAGAAGGGCATTGGACGTCAAGATGGAGATTGATGCGTATTGGAGGATGGAGTGCGGGACTGGAGGAAACAAAGTTAGAGAGAAGCGAGTAGTGTATCTGGGCGAGGATCCAGAATATCTTGACGGTGCCGAGGTGAGACACTTCGGAAATCAGTGGTGGTAGGAAGTAATGGTATTGTTAAGAAAGGGGGTCTGGCTGCACAATGTCTCACTGGCTTCTCATTCAACAGTGTTGCTTACATGAGTCTACTTCATCAATAATTCAGATTACTGGGAATGAATTAAATCGACTAGATTACATTGCTGATGTCCGTGACAAGAAACAAAATTGTATAAGTATCAACCCTGTAAAACAAACTCAATGTCAAAACATGGCTACTAAGACTCCGCCACTCGCTCCACCTGACTCGGCTACGATCCCGGTGCCTGAGTCGAACTGCCAATGTGCCCTGAAATATACATACTACGAAATATATCGCCATCGTAGTCCGACCCATCGCTCTCATACCCAGCACTACCACCAGTATCCACTTCACCAGCAACACCAACAAGCTCCTCCTCATCCCTCTCGACCAACGGAATGACCGGCGCCGCCATAGCACGATACTCACGCACCACCTTCCCCTCCTCCTCCCCATCCTCGCTCCCACCCACCCCAACACCATCCAACCCCATCGGTTCATACGGCACCCTAACCCCCACCCTCGGCCACTCCCTGCCCATAACCCCATACTGATCCACCACACGCCCCTCATACACCTTCCTCGCCCCCTCCGGCACCAAAAACTCGCCCTCGGGCCCCTCAATCTCGAGAATTGGGTGCAAAACCGGGCTCCGCGGGCGCACCACGGCCGCGGATTCCACAATCCAGCAGTCGTCGGGTGCGTGGCTCCACCACGCTCTGCATCGCTCTGGCTCGTGCGTGCAGCGCCGCTGCGCTGCTTGGTCGATTGGACTCACTTCGTCGTTGGGGAAGGGCGCGGGGATGCTGGTGGGGGCTGGGCGGGAGATCGGGGTGTGGGGTGGTGAGTCGACGGGGGAGGAGGGGGAGAGTAGGTGGGCGACGTGGTATTCGCGGCGTCCGGGGGTTTCTTCGGTCCAGGGAGTTGAGAGGAGGGGCGTGGAGAGGGTGAGGGGACGGTTGCAAGGGGCGTGTTTGGTGCGTTTGGGGGGTGGGGGGTTGAAGAATTCGGAGCGTGGGTAGGGGTAGTCTAGGTGTACGGTTCGTTTGCGCTTCTTGGGGACTGAGCGGTTGGGTTCTGGGGCGGTGGATGCGCATTGTTCTTGTTCTTTGCTGGGTTCTTCGAGGGTCTGAGATGCTTCGGGTTGATCCTCGGGTTGCTCCTCGTCATTGGTGTCGAGGTCGTCTTCGGGCGGCTCTGGTTCGATTGTCTCCCGTTCGTCGCTGACGGTGAAGTTTGCGTAGATGCCACTTTTCACCGGTCCAAGTAGATCGTATGATGTACGCCAGTCGTACGAGGACTCTAATGCGGAAATGAAGACACCGTCTAGTACTTGGATGTCCCAGAATCTATCCTGGAGTTTCACGCCATCTGGCGTTTTCTTGAGGTGCAAGCTTGCAGTCGTAGGCCTCGAGTCCCCCAGCTCACTCCTGTAGAGCGCTTGCTCCTGCTGCCTTCTTTCTATGTGTGTTCGGTACGGAAAGCCTTCCTTGCCTCTCTCTGGAATTTCCACCTCTTCGATACGCTGCCACTTCTGACGAATATTGTCTATATCCAGCACGAGATCGGTAGCTTCAACTGACATGTTTTTTGTGGCGTTGAATCCGACCGGCATCCGTCGACATGCTGGAGTCCATAGATGCAACTCGTTAAACCGAATTGGCCTGGGCTCTTGATCTGATCCCCTTTCACTAACCTCATTACCATCCCAATCCAAAAATCCATTGCGATGACGCGGCCCGCCTATTTTGGCTTTGTCAAATGCATCTAGTATGTCCTGGCGACCCTCCGGTTTCATCTGCCCACTGTTGGAATTCACACTGTCAAGGTACCAACCACGTGTCTCCCTCATTTTGATTTTAGAGTATCTGTTTTGTCGATGCAAATGGTTTTGAAAGTAGAGAAAGTCTTCGAGAAGCGATTGAGTGCGGGTGAAATCATCATGCTCTTTTGTGCGGTATTTGCGCGTGACCCTTTTGTTTTCCTTATTCTCTTGCCAAACACCTAATGCCTTCGTGTCGCCTTTTTTCAACAACTCGGTTTTCTGTCTTATCAAATCTGGAAGTGCACGGCGGGTTTTTACTTGATCGTCCCGGTGTTTTTTTAACTTTTCCTTTAGCGATTCGAGAGTAGTTTCTTTACTGAGAATTGTTGCTCGTGGATAGCCTTCCCCTCTTATCTTCTTTCGCGCTTCTTCAAGCTCTCTGTCTTTTTTTGTTTGCCGTCTTGATGACATGGTGTGAATATCAGCTCCTTTTCTGAGTTCGTCACAGAATGTGATGGTTTTGGAAAGATGATGAAACGGAAATGGACAAAATTATCGATTGTACGTATCAGGACGCAATGTCCACAACCCAAGCTGGAATATCTGCACATCCACAACATTGCTCAGATGAGGGGTCTGTATATGTGTCACGTACAAAGAATGGTTTATTCGACAATTGGGAAAACAAAGAACACCCACAATGAGAAGAGCACGCGCCAACAACACCAATAACAAAGCCGTTGTACAATCGCCGGATTAGTACTACTACTATCGAAAAACCCCACTAAGCACAAAAAACAAAGCCCTCGAAACAACCTATCATTCTTGGCGAGATAGCCCAATCCATGCAACACCCATACCAGATCCAGCACGCACCGCCTATCCTCTTCTACGCAACTGTTTCTTCCAATCCCACTCCTTCTTCGGCTCCTCTTCCAGCTCCTCTCCTTCGTTGTGTGGCAATCCCTTTTCCCCAGCCTCCTTGCGTGCCTTTTCTTGTTGCGCGCGAAAGCGCTGCTCTTGTTCGTACCACGTAAGTCGACTGTTTGGGATACTCTCGTCGAGAGGGTCCCAGTCCGAGCTAGTAAACCTACCGATTTTGCGAATTCCGTGGTGCAATCCAAGGGGCTTAGGCTTGACCTCGGCTTGACCCTTGCCCTTAGGTATGCTCTTGCCCTTGCTTGTGGATGTAGCTATGCTCATGGATATAGCTACGCTCTTAGGTGGTGCTTTGCTTATTTCCTCGACCTCGGGATCTTCGACGCTCTCCTCAATGTCTTCGCCGTCAACTGCATCGTTTCCATTATCATCTCCAGAGTCGGACCCGTCGCTGTCAGAGCTGTCGTCGTCGTCTCCTGGATTTGCGCCTGGCGCCACAAAGGGTGGATGGGCGGCTGAAGCCGAAGGGTCTTGTGATTGTGTATCTTGGGGGTTTCCAACGTCCATGTTCTTTTTATTTTGTGGAGGCTTGCGAGTGGATGCTTGACGGGATCTTGGCTTGGTTGCAGCTGGCTTGGTTATAGCTGGCTTCTTTACCTGCTTGGACTTCTCTTGTACTCTAATCGCTTTGGAACCTGTCTTAGAAACTCCTTTAGTGCCTGCGACACCTCCAGGTGCGCGTTTGTCATTGGATTTTCCACTGTCTGAGGATGAGACATGGTCGTCATCCCCGGACGAAACCTTTGCACGCTTGAGTTTTCTTGTCTCCGTGTCAACCTCGTTTTTTCGCTTAGGAACAGGAGGGTTGAGTTTGTTCCCTTTGATCAAGCGATCTACTAGAGCATGCTGCGCATCAATATCGGCGGAACTCGCGATGTATCCTTCTGGAAGATCACGGATCCTTGTTTGGTTTACCCGATCGTACTCCAGAAAGATGTCCACCAATTGATCCTGATTCCACCTGTTAAAGTTCTTGAACCCAGCTCTCTTTGCCATAGGCCTCAGGATGCCGTTCATGCTCAGTTTCTTGTAAGCGTTTTTCTCTGGGTCTTCGTCTTGTTGTTTGGGCGCCATGGTGATGGAGTATTCCAATGTAGATTTGAGTGAATGCTCGATGATACGAATGCCTGGATAGTCGAGAGTTCGGGAAAACGATCATGAGCTCAATATCAGTTGGAATATGATGCTATGAAGCTTACAGGCAACTAAGATATGGTTATAATATAGCACAGAGAAAGCACAATTTCCGTGGTACATGATTCATTTCATCACTGGGAGCTCAGAGTGAAAGGCGTTGATTGTAAACAATGCACCTTTTAGGCAGAAGCACTCATACCAAAAAGCTAGATGAGTGAAAGACAATGATCTGTGCACAACGGCTTAGTTGAGTCTAACAGGCCAAAGATACGCCATTGTGGAGAACAGAACGATGCCTTTCAATTCAAACACATGTAAGAGATATTTTCAGAAGACTCGATGTGACTGCCTTTCCATGATTGTGTAGTCAAATAGCTAGAAATGCAAGAAAGCAAAAGCATATCGCTTCCTGTATGTTGCTTTAACGTGGAAACAATAGACGGGGGGTGTAAAGTCCGTCAACGCACCGTATTGACTGTGGAAATGAACCTTGAGATCCACAGTTTACACTATGATGAGTTTGAAAGTTGTCTTTGCGTAGTTGCCTGGACACGAGCGTGAATTCTACTTGCTAATCACCAATTATCACTCAGTTCACCTGCTTGGTGAGGATGAAGTAACCCCTTTCGGCAATACACCGCAGATGTATTCACTCTACCGGTGGTTTCGTCTATAACGCCTGGGTAAAATTTGAAGGACTTTGCTTCTATCTGCATATATTGAATAACGTACTCAACAGTAGCTGTTACATCTGCGTATCATTCAGTATGGCGCCGCTCAGCCAAAATCTCTTCGAAATGGATAACAACAACGACAAAAGCGAACCTTTTGACGATGCATGCAAAACCAAGATCATTCGTCACACAGCTGGTGCTTTTCACATCTCAGGTTGGAATCCCATCAATGGGACCTCTGGGAAATCGGTCAAGGATTGGGCCCATTGGAAGTCCGATCTGAAGTACAGTCCGCACAACGCCCTTGATGACGAACCAATCGATCCAGACTTTGACGAAAAGTACTTTGACCACTACGGCTACTTCAACTACATCAACAGTGCACACGAGGTACCTATCTTCTCAAACAACAAAAAGAAGACTTAGCTAACACCGAAAAAAGGAAAACTCTACTACTGCTGATGGACAGGAAGTCACATCGTCTTCCGTCAGTGTTCTACAACGTACTCCCAAACGACCCAAAACCTCACACGAATACCTCGCTCGTGAGACAGACGAAGCGGGCGACCTTCAGGAGCCCGATACAGTCTTCACACAACAAGCGACAGCTTCCAACAACGTATGGAGGCCATACACTGCCGAAGAAGTCGCATGGCTCGACCTCTTCCACGCCAAGCTACGCGGCGCCATCGAAGCCGGAGCGGTAATCAAGCTCCCAGGACGCGTACCCATCTTGGAAACCTTTAACACATTCTTCAAGCGCAAAGCCTTCGAAGAAAGAGAAGATGGGGCGGCCGCCGCAGGAGCGAGTGAGTGGACGCCGCGTACCATGGGATCGATGCATCGAAAGTTGCGCTATGATGGTAGCAAAGTAGGCGAGGAACGAGAGAAGCTAAGTAAATTGCTGGAGGATAGGAAGAACGGGAGGGTGTATGTACCGAAGTTGAGTGTGGAGGAGCTTGCGGCGTATCAGAGGGATGGGACTGTTGTTTTGGATGATTTGCGTGCGGAGGGGTTTGAGTATTGCTTTGTGGGGACTCTACGGGGAATTGGTAGGGAGATTCTTAAGAGGAGGGTTGAGGAGTGAGGGATGGTGGGATTGAAGAGAGGTTTGGGATGAGGTGCTAGGAGATGGAGTTGGTGTTGGAATAAGCAAGGCTATGAGATGGCGATTGGGAAAGGATATGATGGTTTTGGAGAACTGGTGGAGATATCTTGTCGATGGGTTGTAGTGGAAATGATAGTAAAAAAAATACAATATGGGAGTAGAAAGGCAGATATAAGCAGTGTAAAGCAACGATGTGATGACGGATGCAAAGCTCTCTCTATAAGATATTTAAATCTAAAATGTGTCTATGTCGTCGCCTACTATGCTGATGGTGCTAGGGACCTGAGTGATGCTACTATAAGAACTCGAAGGCATACCTACCAAGCGCACAAATACGTCTATGCACCGTAAGATATCCGGAGCTCCACCTTACATACATATGTACATGTTTCTGCCCCAAGATTGAGGTTGCAATGACAGATGTCAAGGCTCTACTGGAGAGTGACGGGGACGAGGTCCAGCGACTTCGTTTCACGCATAACGATATATCCATCCCAGCCACTCACCCTCTAATCCTTCTATTCCTCCACACTTCTAACCCGTCCTCTCTTCCCAAATCTTCAAAAACAGTTTCCACAAAATCGAAAACAAAATCCCCTGCAACCCATTCGCAATAATCCTCGTCTTCAAACCCCTGCCAAAAAGGCCCAGTCGCCCATCTTGTCTAATCACCTTCCTCGCAGCCTCCGTATACGAAATCCGCGTGTCATTGACCTGCCGATACGTCTTGACGACCCTCAGAGAATTAGAAATAGTGTCAGACGTAACAGACGCACAGAAGCCAATAAACGCCGCGCGCAGCAGCCACCACCCGATCTGCTCTTTAGGCGGCTCGGTGATAGTCTCGGAAAGCAAGTTGTAGACTGCAAACCAGGGGTAATGTCCGACAAAGGTGGCGGCTGCGGTGGCAAAGGCACCCCACCAGAGACTCCCGATGCCATCCGTCTTGATGCGGTTGCGGAGGATGCGCCAGCCGCTAGGGCCTTGGGCCTGTAAGGTGGTTTTGAGGGTGTCGATGGGGGTTAAGAGCATTCTGAAGGCTGCGGCGCAGGCAGAGGCGAAGATTGTCTGGATGGGGGATGGCAGTTGCTTGAGGAACCCGTTGGATTGCAGCAGGGCGAGGATACCGGCGTTAGCGGCTGTGTCGCCAAAGCGTGCAATGGGTCCCTGGAAGAGTGCTGCGCCCATGCCTTGGTAGTAGCGGCCGATGCCGCCGTCGCGGTAGAGGGTTTTGGTGGCGGTGGTGGTCGAAGTCCCGTGGCGGTATTGGTAGTTCATAATTGTGCGGATGGGCATGAGGAGCAGCACCTGGAGAATCATGGCTGCGGCGCCGCTGAGTCCGCCGCCCAGGGCCCGCTTTAGGGCGCCTTTGAGGTCGAACTGTGGTATATGTGGTGAGCCTTTTGGGGGTGTGGACATGGGCTGGCTGGTACTACTACTAGGGGTTACGTACATCGACGTCGTCGGCGTCTATCCATGCCTTGACAAACACAACGATTATGAGCGTTGCGGCCAAGGCTAGCAACCCTCTCCATACGTACTGCCAGGTACGCGATACCTCTTCGTCGGGTACTTGGGGTTCATCGTCACCTTCTCGAGGTACAGACGTGTAATCGGGCGCGTCAGCATGCGCGAGCAAGGGCGCACGCTCGTCTGCTGCGCCAGCGCTTTCCAAGTTGCGCTGGGAAGACATTATATTTGTATCAAAGAATGAAGTTCAGAGCTGTTCATGTTCAGGTAACACAGACATTTGTATCCGATCCTCTGTCGTTGTCGGCTCAGTCGTCGAGTCAGATTACCAATCATATCAACCAATGACGCGTGCACGGCAGTCTTGTGGAGACTGGCGTGACGGGCTTCTATTAATCATCTCGTCGCATTTCTACTACTACATCTCATTATCTACATACATACTATACTCGAGTACCCACACCACAAACTCGCCCTGTCTGTCCAAACCCCCCCGCCTCTACAACTCCCGGTGCGGGGGGCCGGGAAGATCCGGCCGTGGAGGCCCCAGATTATCAAGCGCCTTCGCCATCTTCCAAGTAGCCCAATACGCCTGATCAAACCTGTCATCCTTCAGATCCATATGGGCCGAACCCCAGTTATTCCCTAGCATCTTATCCTTGAGCCCCCCGTTCATCCTCTCTAAACTGACCAAGGGCGACCTCACCCACTTCCCCGTCGCGTTCTCCGGTGGTTCCGACTCAGTCGCCTTGCGGAAACAATGCGTAGTGCCTCTATCGCGCTCAACGACGAATTTGGGATGACTGCCCTCCCATCTTATTGCGTGTGCCCAGTCGACTGAGTAGTCCCCGTGGTGCGACCATCCGAGGTATTTGGCCTCGCCGTGCAGAGTCCACACAACCAGGTGCTCCCAGTCGTGCTTGTGTCCACTGGCTAGACTGCCTCCCTCGTCCTTCTCAGCGTAGTATCCGTATATGTAGAAGCACCAGCCATCATCAGTGCACTTCTCGCGTACGTAAACGTTACTGTTGGATAGCCGGTCCAGTGTGCGGCAGTTGCCCTGCCCGAGTTCCAGGCCGCTGTTCAACTGGCCGCTGCGCGTGATGGCCATGGTGTTGTAGCAGGCTGACTTGTCAAAGTCGATGACGGGTTGGTATTTGAGTGCGCCAGGCGTTGCGTTCTCATCCAGTCGCGGCGGAGACGACGGTGGAGCGGGTGCTGGTGCTGGTGCTGGCATGGGAGGTTTTGGGCCTGCTGGCGCATGATTACAGATGTACGCCATGCTACATTTTTTCCCATCGGCCAGAGTAAAGAGTCCATCCAAGTGTCGACTGAAGCACGTCAGGGTATTGGGATCGTATGTGTGCCAAGCGAACCCCGCGACATTTGGATCTCCAACGTTGTTGTCGATTACTACTGTCCATTTATCTCCGTTAGGGAGTGTCTGCGACACGCCGCTTGGTCGCCAAGGGTACGAGCCGTCCCACGGGACATTGGCCATGTATGTCGGGGCGCCCCAGGCTATGTTGGAGTAGTACATCATCTCGCGTGATGTAGAGCCGCCATTTACTCCCAGGCCAATACCGCAGTCGGCGAGAACGAGGTTTTCGCTCCATGTTGTCGTGGCGGAGACTAGAGTAGTTGCGAGGGCAAGTAAGGTTAGGGAAGTTGCGGCCATTATAAATATACTCGGGCTGCCTCGACGATCGAGACGGCAAAATCCAAGGCTTGGTCTTGACTAAAGATCGTATGGAGATGATGAAAAGGATTCTAGCGACAAGCGCTGAGCTTCCGAGGATGCAGCTTGGGATGGTGATGAGAGAAACCTAGGTATCGTGCGAGCATGTATCCTTTATGCTGCTTCTGATCCCCTGCGAAACGTCCTCACAAGGAGGTACAAAAAACGTACATCGTATACTCCGGGTTGAATCTGCCCATGTCCAGTTGGTCAAGCCAGTCATCCTGAAGGATTTCAGCTGTAGCCACATCTTTCATATATCCGCCGAGCTGAGTGTGGTTGCTACACTGTATTGGTTGTGCACATTGTAAAAGACGGTGTACATGACGACGTCTGAAGTGGTGCCATCTCTATCGTCGTTCAGGAAGTAATACAGCTGAAGGCATGGAGCTGAAGCTAAACGGAATGTTTGTATACTAGTACTAACGGGTGTTAAAGATTCAGCTGTGGACCGACAATGTTCAGCTGCCAAGCCTACTGTCGGTACTACCGAGCCCCGCCGTTGTCGTAGGCGCATAACCATTCAAAACTGTAGAAAAAAAATCTTGGCTATTGACAAGAATAAATGGTTTTCTAAGCGAGGGAATGAGCAATTTTGTCAGTCATATGTTGGTAGTAGTTTCTACAAACCGTTTTCTAGATTACACAGTATCCAACGTATTGCGACGTGATTATCCGCCAAAGCATGTGCGACTGATTGTATTCGAGAATCTAGTAATTTTTTTGACTGCCGTGGTGACTAGTATTGTACAGTAGTAGTATTCTTGGATTGACGCGTCAGGTGGCTGGAGCTATTGTTGGAGACGGCGTCTGCTCCCATCCTCATGCGGCCTTGCCATCAAACAGCCTTTGCACCAGCCAGATGGGTGTGGACTGTGGGTTTTGTCCAATTATATTGGTTAGAAGGAAAAATTCACTTTTCCATCAGGTACATGAAGAAAACAGCCACACGCAAATGAATTACTCTTTTTTGTATTGGAACTCGACAACCCAGGATTCGTTTGCACAAGAGTTTTTCGGCTGTATCTTCGATAAGTAATACTCGCACTTGCCAAGTACGAACAGGCTGACAATAGCAAGTATAGGAAGTGAGAGAAACATGGTTGTACCTAGCACAAAGCTTGCGCAATGACATAACAGTATTACTCTATTCCACATATCTCTGTCAGTGCATGAAAAAATATTTAGCATCTAGCCCCAGCATAAATATTACATAGCATAAGAAGCCCTCCATTCCCCCGTCCTTGGTAAGATTGCAGCAAGGTCTCCATAGATATTTTGCTCACTATAGTAACTCATTACGTAGCCATTTCCCAAGGAGTTGAGCCAATAGTGATTGGTGCCCGCTTTTCCATGGAAGTTATACCTGCTCCACGGAACATGGGTAGTCGAACTCTTAATGGTAACAGGACTGCGGGGGCCTTCTTAGAAAGTACATCCTAGCAAAATATGCAATCCTCCGGACCATCTTTGACAGGAAAGACTGAAAGACGCGGAAAGTGGGAACTACGTACTCCCTGAATAGGCTAGACATGTATGGGTAAATCAACCGTGCGAATCAAGTCCTTTCTATAGACATTTACTAACCCACCATAGGGTGGATTTGTACGTAGTACAGGGCTATGCGTGTATCGTGCATTGCTACAGCTAACCATGCAAATCGCGTATGCAATCCTTGCGTCCACCTGAAAGAACCACAACGAGATCCGAATTGGCTGATCTTGGCCAAAGTGCTAAAAAACCAAATAAACGGAGAGATCTATAAAGACAAAGCTGTAGGACACTTTGTTGCACTACACTACTCTTCAACGCCTTGATAGTCTTTTACAACATTTCAATCACATTATTCCAACCAACTATTCACGATGAGGGCTTCTTCAAACTCTTTCATGTTCACACTGTTCGCTACGGCTTATTGCTACGGCACGGAATAAGGCGATGGCGCTCCGCTACCAGATATGGGGTATATGCAGCCAGACATGCAGCCAGACATGGGTTCTATGCCGCCTGACATGGGTTCTATGCAATGAAATCTGGGTTCCATGGACATGTTAAACGACTCTTACAAATGTGCCAATGGTGAGTATGTAAAGAAACAATCAAAATTTCCGGTCCGACCAATTCATAAATCTAGATGCCAAGCCCTCCCTCGCATGCACTGATCTGTCATTGAAGCCGACCTGCTTTTGTACCTGTAGCAACGGCGTCATGTTCGACGAGACGCTCCCTCATTCTTCTCACGGAACTTCCTCTTGCAATGATTGTGAGGCAGAGAAGAATTAGTGTCTGGATCGCGAGCACGCATCGGCTGCACAACTCAACGATGCATTGCTGCGCGAGCAGCAGTTGAAAACCGAGATGCTCGAAGCGAAGGATTCGCATGAAAAGGAGAAGGCAAGCCTCTCGGACAAACTTAACAAGATTGACAAAATGTGGCATTGGTATGGTTGCTACCAAGATGAGGATGTTTTACCAGATAGGGTTTCTTCCCTCAACCTAGGTTTTAACGACAACTACTACTGTGTACAAAAGTGCCATTCATACACACACTTCGCGCTTCAAGGACCAAACTGCTATTGTTCTGATTCCATGAAACCAGCTACTATCCTCGACAGGAAATTGTGCAACACCCTGTGTCCAACAAGCAAAGAAAGTAGGTGTGGTGGAAAATCATAGGTCCTTATCTACAAGAGTTATTAGTAGTTTATTTGGTGCCTTTCAGGTAGGCAGACATAGTTGGTATTGTAACTAGATTCTTTTATCCCAATCGATTAAAATATGCTGCTTTTCCGTAGTACAATCGACCATCCATCTTTTATTACAGCTACTGTCACACAAAACTATTCAACTTTATTTGTTATTAATTATCGACTGCATCTGATCGAATCAACAGTGTTACTCCAGTTGTAGGTATGATCCATGTCTTCATTGTTGTCGACCAAAACTTGTAAAGTGGAGAAAAGCTCACATGACAGTATAGAGGCAACCCGTACTGACGAAAGATAGTAATGTGCCATTGGTAATGCTGACATGGATGGATCTTAAGGAACGCAAACGAACTCATTCCCGGGAAGTGATAGAGTAGTGACGTGCTCTATTCTGATGATCGGTAAAGTTAAGCTATTTATGCATGATCATTGTAGCCTTCAATGCACTTCTTTTGATTACCTTGGATATAGAAAAAATATTACAACGTTCGTTTGTAGAACCATGCCTGTAGCTAACACAATTTCCAGGAAGTATAATTAGCATTAGCTGAATATATCTACCCTGGGATATCATTCGATACTGCAACTCTACACATTGATGAACTGGAAAACAGATGAAATGAAATAAGTCCTGTGGCTGCGAGATCGGGAGTACGGCACAGTAGGTCATGTATTGTGGGAGTCTTATCCTTCCCATGCAACCTTGGCATATGTGTAGAGGGGCTTTTCTCTAGCAAATCATCCAACCTTACGTCAGTGCTGCAGTTACTGGGGACTCGCCAAGCATTGGCACTGTTAAATCTCCCCTCGAACTTTCGGTATGACTAAGCACAAAGCTACCGTTATATTTACCAGAATGCGAAATCAACAGGCCGTTTGCGGAATTTCCCATGAGTCATGATATAGGCAAAGAATCGAATTACAGTCAGCACATCGAAAAGCCAGACATGAGTCACGCCGATACCAAAGTCAAAAGGGATAACGTCAATCTTGACGCCACATTACCCACCTACTACGACTCTGAGCCATCAGCACAGCCACCAAAATACCCCGACGGCCAATTCATTTCAACTGGGTTACGGAGTAAAGATATAGATCAATGTAGCGCCGGTGCGCCCGCAAGTACCATCGCGGCAATCCTCGGTTCTGGCTATGTCGATTTGGATGCTCAGCGACGGGCAGACCGCAAGAAGAAGACTATTCGTGAGCGGTGGAATGATTTCAAAGAAAGAAATCTTGGCACCTACAATGTATCAGAGGATAGAGCTGGGGCGGCGAGTGCAGCGGAATGGAATATGCAGGGCGCAAGAGTAGGTGGAGGACTCGCGACGCCGTATCGGAGAAAAAAGTGAAGGTGACATTGTAGAATATCGAGGCGATCTTCTAACGGACTGTTTCGGAACTAAAGAAATAAGTCTTGCAGTATGGGAAAGCGCGCGTTTCTGCAAGTAATAACAGAACAAAAATCATGTATGACAGAAGCCGCGTTACACCTATGCCTAGTCAAACTTTGTTATTGTGCTGCTTTACAGTATCCATACAGAGAGAAGTTTGCATATATATCACCATGACCGATTACTGCTTTGTGCTTGTCCCTGAGCTGAGACAGGCTTGCTGTGTTGTATTCCTAGTCTGGCAACGGTATCGCACCCGGCCTCAGACAGGGCGAATGTCGCTCCATGCGCATCCAGAATGTTAGCCGCATTGCTGTAGAGCAACTGCAGCCATGTTAAGCGCAAATCTTCTACTGCAAGTTGGGCCGGGTAATTAAGACCCAATGCGCGTCGATGTGGCCAGGCCTGTAGTGATGCAGGACGGAATAAATGTCTCTAAACGTGACGCATCTACCGCCTTACCAACGCCCTAGCGACTAATTCGAGAGAAATATACAAAAGCATTACGTCTAGGATACATAATGTGCATTTTTTCTTGTTTTTTTGTCACAGTATACACTCTATCTTCTCATGATACAACCATTCTAAGTACCTGTCCTGACATTGCTGTGACAAAATATAAGATATAGAGAAAATATAGAACAAACTTCGATATAATGTGAACTGTAATTTTCGTTATATTTAATATATATATTATCTTTCTGCAAAAGAATTCTCTTCTGCTTCTAACACCCCCATGACATCAACTGTCCACTCCCTCATCTTCTCCCCTGGAGGCAAATACGGACGTCTTGGCCAGAACGCTTCGCTCTTGATTCCTAGTTTTGAACCCAGAAAATGCCCTGCAGCAAACTTTGTCAGCGCCAAACTCTTCTTGCAGGCCCATTCTGCATTGGCCACCACATTCTGCAATGCCTTCGCCTCCTCTTTCTTGCCTTCCGTCCACAGATCATACACTCTCGCTGTAGATTTGGGAAACACGTTCCCCATCCCTGTCACACACCCCACACCGCCTCCCTCAAGCGTAGGGAACAGAAAATCGGATGAGCCGCCATACACTGAGAATTGAGCAGGTGAAAAACGTGAAGTCAGGCGGATCGCTTTGCCAACATTTCCACATGTCAATTTTACAGCGACAATGTTTGGGTGTTGTGCCAAAGCAGCGAGATCATCAGAATTCAGGTCCACGCCAGAGGTTACAGCGGGGAAGTTGTAGATGACAATGGGCAGTGGGCTCGCATCAGCGACATCTCTGTAAAACCCCAATAATGCCTCCTCGGTAACGGATTTGGCCCAGAAACTAGGTGGGAGTAGTAGACCAAAGGATGCGCCGGCATCTTTGGCGTCTTGCGCCAACTCAATGCTTTCATTCGTGCTTTGTCCGCTTATACCTGCGACCAAGGGATAGTTGGGAAAGCCAAGATCGGTGACAGCGCGACGGGCAGTTTGAAGAATGGAGATCTTTTCAGAACGTGAGAGGAGGACTGCTTCGCCGTTTGTGCCTTGGTATACAAGGCCGTGTTGGCCGGCACGGACGAGATATTGGCAGTGTTTGTACATTGCTTCGAGGTCGATTTCCTGGGTTTTTGTAGGCTTGTAAAGGGAAATGACGGGCGTGTAAACGCCGGGTGGAAGCATAACCTTCTTCTTGTCTATGGTGGACTTGGAGATAGGCATTGTGGTTATGTTTGCCGAACGTGTGTTCTGCAGCAATATGAAGATGAGATGACAAGAAAAGAAAATTGTGATTTTGAGGAGAGAATAGTAAATGACACAAGAAGAAGGCACAGTAACTTCAACCTTGGAAAGAAAACCATGCAGAGTTTCGCTCGAAATGTCCTGCTCGGAAGGTTCTCCAGTCCCCGCGTTCCCCCACAAAGTATGGAGTATCGGAGAGAAGACCGGGCGCTAATCAAGACCCCTACTGCACTATGCGTGGCTCCCCCCACTGGCCAGATGTGACTCGACTAGCGGGGTAATTCCCTCATAATTCTTCTGTACATGAATCGCTCCTTGTTCCGCGATGGAAACAATTGGACATACATCTCGCTAGTCAGAAGATTCCAATACGGACCGGATATTTTGCAATGAGCCACGGAAGGGACATTTATATTTAGGTTGGAATGAGGAAAGATGAACGAAACAAGTGTTTCTACGGACCACCCATGTAGCAAACCCCGCCGTGTCTGGTCATTGTCCGCATTTCAGGGAGACCGGATACAGTAAACGGGGATAGTAGTACATACTGGACTTCCTATCGCATCTTCAAAGCAGCAACTCTACAGCAGCATGCTCTAAAATCATCGCTCGCTCGATATCTAGTCCCTTGGTAGTTGTGTCGCTTCTTGTTATCTCTGCCTTAGCAATGATATAGCGCGGTTTAGTCTGCAGGCTTTGAAGAAATGTGACAAGCGTCGCCGCAACGGTGCATTCGATATCCAGCGAAGAGCGCTCATCTGTACCTAAAACAAGCTCTCCGGACGTCATATTCCACAGAAATTCGTGAAACGGTGAGGGCACAGTGAATTGATAGCTAATGATCATTCCGAGGCCGTTGCACGACCATTGTGCTACATTTCTTCAGAGTTCCGCTATCCAGACACGATTTGTCATGGAGGGGTTTCCTTGCGATCTCCAACATGCTAGTACCGCTATGAATGACAAAGCTTTTCTTTGTTAAAGTACGTGGACATAGATTCTCTGCACCTCACAAAACAACGTGAAGGGCATTACGAAATCGAGTCCTAACTAGTCCACGATATAGTTCTTCATATAGCTTGCACTGACCTCGGCCTATAAAGCTCTTCCAAGTATTCACATTCGTCGTCTGATAACTCCACTACCAAACTCTCCATGATCTGATCTACCCTTTCCACGCTGGTGAGTCCTACAATAGGCGAACAGCCCTTCTTGATTACCCAAGCGGTTGCGACGCTTGCCATGCTGCACCCTTTCTTCCTACTCAGCTCCTCTACCCGTTGAATGATATCAGGCTCTGCATCACCGAACCATTTTTTCGTCTTCGCATCAGCTTCATTCCTGCTACTCGTCGCACCGGCTGGCCTTCCCAAGAGCCCCCTCGCCAGCGGACTCCAGGGAATTATTCCTATCCCCTCAGATCTACAAAAGGGGAGCATATCGCGCTCCTCTTCGCGGTAGAGTAGGTTATAGAAAGGCTGCATAGAAGTAAAAGTTGTCCAATTGTTGAGCTTCGCTGTATATTGCAGGCGCGCGAACTCCCAGGTGTACATGCTACTCCCACCAAGATACCGCACTTTTCCCATGCAGACGAGGTCGTGGAGGGCGCGCATGGTTTCTTCAGGCGGGGTGTCACGGTCGAGGCGGTGAATTTGGAGGACGTCAATGTATGAGGTTTCCAAACGCTCCAACGATGCCTCAACGGCGTCGAAGATGTGTTTCCTGCTCAGACCCATCTGATTCACGAGCTGTTGCGAATAGCTGTCTGGCGGCTGCGGCCGCGACTCATCGTCCATGACTGGGTAATAGAGTTTTGTCATAATGACGACTTTGGAGCGTGGAATGTTGAATTTCTTCATGGCGTGCCCGAGAATGCGCTCGCTTTCCCCATTGGAGTAGGTGTTTGCCGTGTCCCAGGTGTTAATTCCTAGGTCCCAGGCTCGCTTGATGACTTTCATGCTTTCATCTTCTGGTAGAGTCCAAGATGAGCCTTCCCAAGCTGGGGAGCCAAAGGCCATGCAGCCGAGAATAATGCGCGAGGTTTTGACGCCTGATGTACCGAGGCGAGCGTATTGCATTTTGGGCGTAGTGGTGGTGGGCGAAGGCGCCGGCATGGCTTGTTTTGTTTCTTATTGTAAATGTGTTTGGAGAGAACTCTATCAATTACGAACCGATCCAGAGTTACCCAGTCATTGCCTTGTCCTGGTTGTGGAGCATTGCCATGTTAAACAGTTGTGTCCCACTTCAAGATCGGAATTCTATTCCGATGGAAGGCATGCCGGGAACCCGGTCAGCTGCAGCTTTTCTTCGGCCTTCTCGCCGGCTTAGACACAGCCGTCCAAACAACAGTGTTAAATCAAATGATTGTGAGATTGTGTTCATATGAATGACTCGATTGGGTGCTTGTATTCCACAGTCGTTCTGGTATTTCTTCCGGTCCATCTACATATTCTTCCACCACAACTGCTTTTGCAAGTTACCCAGCCAACCATGAGCTCCCAAACGGAAAACAAGCAATACATACTTATAACTGGAGCTGGCGGTTTTATAGGTCAAGAGCTTGCCATATCCCTTCTTGCATCTTCTCCAGCAATCAATCTCGTCCTAGCCGATGTTTTTGAGCCACCGTGCCCAGAAGCGTCCCGGGTTGTCTCCTTCAAAGCCGACCTTACACAATCTTCTGCTGTGGATTCGTTACTCTGCTCTCAAACATGGTCAGCATGTTATTTACTGCACGGAATCATGTCTGGAGGCGCCGAAGCGAACCTTGACCTTGGCCTCATCGTCAACGTCGACTCGCACCGCTCAATTCTTGACCACCTCCGACGAAATCAACCAGGTGTTATCGTAGTTTTTCCATCGTCCCTCGCCGTCTACGGACCCCCCGAACCTTCAAGCCCTCTTACATCAGAGAGGACGATTCCGATTCCGCAATCTTCGTATGGTGCAGAAAAGTTGATTGTAGAGACGTTGATCAACGATTACTCGCGTCGCGGGTTGATTGACGGGCGAATATGTCGGCTCCCAACTGTCATTGTCAGGCCTGGTGCCCCATCCGCGGCCGCGTCGAGTTTCGCGTCTGGCATTGTTCGTGAACCGCTGAAAGGGGAGCCGTCGGTGGTGCCTGTAAGTAAGGACCTCGAGATGTGGGTGTGTTCGCCGAAGACCGTCGTGCAAAATCTTGTTGCTATCAAGGATGTGTCTGCAGAGAAGTTCGGCTCAAACTGTGGAAGGACCGTCAATATGCCTGGTCAGACAGTTAAGGTGGGCCAGATCCTCGATGCCCTAATGGCAGTAGGTGGCCGGGAGGCATTAGCGTTGGTGGAGGAAAAACGGGATCTCAAGGTGGAGGCTATCGTTGCTAGCTGGCCGGCGCGGTTTGATATTACATTGGCGGAGTCGTTGGGAATGAGCCGTGATATCAGTTTAACTGAGGAGGTGGAGAGGTTCGCGAAGAGTTTGAAAGTTTGAAAGTGATGGTCATGAATCTATCCCATCCCACCGAAATTGAAGTCGAAGTTTCCAAAGTCGGACAAGAGAAATTGTGAAGTTCCCAAACTAAACTCTGCTTCAAAGCCGGTGCCGGTAATATTATTTGCATACATGCTAGCCGTATCGTTAGTATTGAGTGGTGTCACCGTATTGCCAATACCATGTGATAGCCCAACCCGCGAGTCACCGTTGGCAGAGGGGTTGTGCATTTGCAATACGGAAGGACTTTGAATCTTGGATGCTGCCATCCTTTCAAGGCCATCAGCCATCAAGTGGACTAAGTGGTATTTGCCGGTAGATGTCGACCGGAGCTGCTGGACTACTCTGCCAATCAAGTCGAGAACAAAGCCGTCGTCAATGTATTGACCCGAATGCTGTGCGGCTACCTTGAGTAAGAGTACACAAGCAAAAGCAATCATGGAGTGTATGTAATGGGGAATTCCAACAAGACTTTCCCTTACGTCTGGATCGCCAAGTATGAGCTCAATGATAGCTGTGGACGCGGACACGGCAGCCATTGCACTTTCTCGAAAGTGTGTTGGGACAGCAGCGCCTTTGAGACCGCGAAATACATGAGAATGTAGATAAAGCTTTGCGAAATGATGGTGCAATATAACCCCTTTGGCAGGAAATTCCCCAATGCGCTCATGAAGTTCTTTACGTATTAGCCAAAGCCGATGACATGATGTGACTTGAACCTACTCATCAACTCTGTCGTCCAAAACCCCATCCACTGATCGATGCGCTTACCGAAACTCGCCAACTGCGACACAAACGCCTTAGGAACTGGTTCCCCGGTATCAGGTCCGAAGAGGTCTCGGATATTGCTCATAATGATCAACAAAGCAATCTGGCTAATCATGCGTCTATCAGAATCAGTGACCACAGGTGACTTTAAGAGCTCTTCCCATTCCAGGATCGATGCATCTTCATGAATAATGCTCTGGCGGCCATACAGCACAGACAGATGGTGATCACAGATGTACAGTATATACCATATCCGCATACAGTCCATGGCGTCTTCGTCGTTCTTGTCAATAACCAGCTGGTAGTTTCGATTTAAGTTAATCTCTGTGGCTCTGCGGATAGCACATCCAGAAAGGGTCCAAGAGATGTCGTGCAGCCAGTACGCGCCAACACACATGGCACGCATACAGTCTCGATTGATGCGGCGCTCGAACATGGATGCCGCCACGAGACGACGGAACTCCCTATTGCAAGGCCCATACAGGTGATTATCGGCAGGGTCATGAAGCGCGGCAACAGTGCATATGGCGGCAGTCAAGATAGGAGAGCCGCGTCGCATGCGTTCAAGACCCTGATAATTCCCACCGCCGAGCAGATATATGAACTTGTCAATACGTTGGAGATAAACCTTTACAAGACGGTCGGCATCCTCAGCGCTTACGATGCCCTTTGAGATAAAGTCGTTGATGGGCTGGTTCGGGGGGTGTGCGGGGGACGGGACCGATGCGTCAGGTATATCATCAGAACGTAGAGCCCTCAGCCGAGTGATTTGGTATAGTGATTCTATGGGAACGTGAAGTGCATCGTCTCCTGGGGATAGCCGAGGTGAGTTATCACATGAGGGCCCGGGGTCGTCACGTTCAGTCATGTTCTGGGATGATTCATCCTGCTGAGCAGTGACTTCCGATTGAAGAGGAGGGAGAGGAGGAAGAGACAATCGAGATAGAACTTGCTGCAATGCAACATGTACGTGCTCAAGATCTGCAGCCAGCGTATGTCTCCATCTGTGTGCAATTGTCAGTCTCGACTACAAATAAGTTGTCGTGTCAAGTCGCACGCAACTACTATACGTACTGACCGCGCTCCTCAATCAGTGTCTGCAGGCTTTTGTTTAGCACACATGCTAGATTCCGCTCCGTGCACCGTTTGCATGGCGGTCCACGGTCGCCAATTATGCACTTGATCTAAATCGTTGAGGGTTGACTAGTCAGCTGATGCCATCCGGACTTCTCTGCGAACTGAGTGGAATGTCACGAGGTAGCCAAACCTTTTGTTTTCGACAAGCAGCGCACGCCTTTACCTTGCGAGAGATGGATGGTGCATGGATGTCAAGCGACGAGTCGGATGGTCTCGATTGTGGAGAAGACTGTCCATCATTTGTCTGAGACCATAGCCTTTTTGGTGGCATGTTTATTCATTTGCTTGGGATGAATGAACTGGCAGGGAAATGCGAGGTGATCCATTTTGTCGAGTGTCCCCCCTACTTACCCCCTCCGGACATCGGGCCGATGGTAATTCTCGAAGAGCGGGGAACCCAATAGATTACCGAGCTCATTGAATTGGGCAACAATCGGACGATCCCTTATCAGCCACATGACTACTGAGAAACTTCGTTGCCGTACATCAAATAATCAATCTGGTGTGTACATGACGACCCAGGTGATGTCGTCGCACGCCTAGTAGATATCATCACAACTTCTTCCGTACACAGATCAATCGACATGATCTACTCGAATAACTAATCAATTGCCTACGCAACGCTGTCATCGTCATCGTGAAAAACCGTAGTACCCCAATTCGGCCTATTAAATCTCCTCCCTTCTGTCTTCGCCAGCCTATCCAGCCTATCGACTTCATCGGGGCCTAGTTCGAATACTCCCAAATTTCCCTTAATTCTTTCCGCATTCACGCTTTTGGGGATGACACTCCATCCGTGGCTTAAACCCCAAGAAAGAAGTACTTGGGCAGGAGTTGCCTTCCGTTGCTCTGCAATCTCTATCACGTCTTTGTGCGTATGTAGCGTTGAGCCTTTGCCACCAAGGGGGCCGAACGCGGTTTGGTGTATGCCATGCTTCGTGCAAAATTCGTGAAGCTTGTTTTGAGGTAGCAGGGGATGCAGCTCTGTTTGATTAACTGCAGGAATCACCTTTGCTATTTTGAGTAGTTTCTCAAGGTTGACCGTGGAAAAGTTTGCCACGCCGATAGCTTTGACAAGGCCCGTGGATAATAGATCCTCCATCGCAGTCCAAGTTTTCGAAAAGTCCCAGTCTGAGGCGTGTACCGTACGGTCTTCTTTGCCGAAGTTCGGTTGTGAAGGATCGTTTGGCGGAAGGGAAACTGGCCAGTGCATAAGGTATAGATCAACATAATCGAGTTGGAGGTCTTTCAAAGATAGACGAAGCGCGGATTCAACATTTGAATGTTGAGAGGACCATAATTTTGTAGTTATGAAGATTTCGGATCGAGATATTGAGGTTTCCTTAAACACTTCTGAGAGCGCTTGCCCAATCTCTGCTTCGTTCCAATCTATATAGCGTTAGATAATACTATGATATCAGGCCACTGTCATACATACATAGGGGAGCAAAGTCCAAGTGTCTATATCCCGACTTTATAGCAATTTTAACTGCACTGCCAGCCTCACCTGGGGCTGCTTGCCATGTTCCAAATCCCTACATCAATTAGTACATGCTACAAGTGGGAGTTGATGTACAGTATCGTACCACGCCGGGGATATCAGCGCCTGTGTTGAGTTTGAAAGTCTTAGTGTAGTCATTCATTGTGCCAGATGTGATTTCGAAGGTTTGAAGATTCTTGTTTGTCCTGTCTTAGAGTGACGAAAGCTTCATTTCTATAGTCAAACATGGTCAGTCGTTACCAGGTTTCGAAGGGTTACTCTACGGCGAGAATGCCGGCTCCCGAGTACCTAGTCTTCGAATCATTCGCTTGGCATCGCTCCATCGGACTTATATGCGCTTCGTCGCATGACCCCACTCATTGAAGCCCATGGCATGCCATCTCGGCAGATTGAAAGTGGCACTGGAGCAAAGCATTAGAAGGAATATGTTTGTACATTATATTTATGATTTTACTTTCTTTTCTACTAGGTTCACCCTATCTATAGGTTTCATATTTACTACAAATCTAAACCTTCTCAATCCGTACGAATTGTTCATCTTTCTCGTCATGAGCTATATCGCCAATGTCTTGATGAGCCATGACATTTTCCTTTGGATATGCCCTCTTCCACATAGACCAGATCGAAAATTGGAACAACTCATCCATAGACTCAATAGACCGACCTTTCATCTCCGGCATACAGAAGTAGACGAAGATAGCGCCAATGTATGTTAGTACCGCGTACAAAAGGAACGTTCCCCATCCCAAGTGCGTCATCATCGACGGTGTGGCTTTAGTAATGCCAAAATCAACGATCCAGTTCGTGAAGAAGCACCAGCTCATGCAAAAAGAGCGAATACGAGAAGGGAAGATCTCTGCAGCCACCACATAGCAAGCCACGCTATGACCGAATGACCATCCGAAAGCGTAGATGTAAATCCAGACGATACCAAAAACACCACCGATTTCGGTGCCACCCCCCACCTCTGGTTTTGCAAATCGAACGTAGAGCGCAATGTACAACATGGCAGTAGCCTGAAGGCACGCGCCTATGATAAGAGGCAATCTTCGCCCGACGCGGTCAACAATGAAGACGACGTAAATGAGCACAGTGACAAGCTTGACAACACCATAGATGCCAGTGGTGAACAAGGCTTGAGATCCCCCCCGTACGCCAATCATAGTAAATATTTCCGGGGCAAAGTAGTTGAGTGAGTCGGTTCCCGTGAGTTTGTGGAAGAGGAACAACATGATGGCGAGGAAAAAGCGCCGCCTGTTGGATGGTACAAGCGCAACATCCTTGAGCACTAGCCAATAGTTACGTCCAGCCGCGATTTCTTGCTCTAAATCCACTTGTGTGCATGTTTCCATGTATTCTTGCTGAACATAGGGATGAGATTCGGGGAGCTTCCGAAGCTTGACGAGATTGATAAGACCTTGCTCACGCTTTCCACGCGCAATCAAGGCACGAGGCGTCTCTTCCACGAAGGGGAGCATTGCCACCATCTTCTATAAGTCAGTGATCATACCACCGGTCGAGACTGGAGAGATACGTACGAATCCTCCTGGGATAAGTTGAATGCCCAATGCTAACATCCATTGTGTGTTGTCTGTGACATTGACATTTTTCCATTTGCTAACTCCAAAGTTCGTCCAGAATGCCAATGAAAGAGCAGTGGTGATCATTAGGTTGTAGAGGCAAGTCATTGATCCACGAATCGCTTTGGGCGAGTTTTCCGCTAGAAATTGGGGTGCGCCAGCGGACATGCATCCAATTGCTACACCAGCAAGAAATCTGCCTGCATAGAAAAGCCCTAGATGGGGAACCTCTTGGAAGGCACAGCCCAGCAGATACAATAAGCCGTAGAGCATCATCGACCACTTGCGACCTAAGAAGTCGGCACACGGAGCAGATAGCAGAGCACCTGCAGCACCACCAGCAGCCACTGTTGATAGTTAGCGTCAGAATTCGCGGCGTATTGGACGAAGGGGAACTTACTCAAAGACGCAATATTACCTTTGCGCGCATCCGCAGCATCTTCGCTTAGGCTGTCCAGTCCAAAGGCATGCTTGAATGTCGGTAAAGTCAATACTCCGCCAATGTTCCCTTGATCAAAACCATAGGCACAGCCAGCCATGGCGATAGTAATTCCTAGAAACGCCAAACGGCCATTGTAAATCTCTCGTGGGTCACTCCGAGCCTGGGGCGAAACCCAAATGCTTGTACCCCCACCCATGTTGCATATAGAATCGAGTTAAAAATTTGGAGGAGAGAAAATATATCTCGAATTGTAATATATGTACAGCTGTGAGGAGCAGAACTCTGTCTACTACAAGCTGGGTCTTATAACATACCAAGATGGTACGAAAACATGGCCACATCTAGCTAGTTTGGTTGACATGCTGGTCGGTTTCTCCCCGCATTCGCGTTTCCCCGCAATCCTTCGTGTGACCTTCTTTAAATCTCTCGGTGAGAAATCCGGGGACGATCTTGGTACTAGAAAGACTAGGAAAGGATGTCCGGAACTTTTTCCGGGTCGGCTTAACCCACAAAAGTAATACCGACGTGACCTGGCGAAGCCTGTGAGAGCGCACGCTCACTGGCTCTTAGAGTGAGGAAGCTTACTTGGCAAGCTTATATCAAGTTCGCTTTTCTTTTAGGAGCTATATACCTGGCTTGCTCTCAACAGTTCATCGATTGAAGTAGTAACCAGGATTTTCACAATGCTAGACTTCAACGCCGAGCTGGACGTCCAATCGGACAAACCTTTCTTCGCTTCAAACTACATTCCGGCATCCACAGTACAAGTTCATGCCTCCAATCTATTGCAGCTACCGAATGGCGACCTACTGTGCGCATGGTTCGGAGGCTCTCAGGAAGGACTCTCCGATATTTGCATCCATTTTTCGCGGCTGAAGAAGGGCTCAAGGGTATGGTCAACGCCGCAAAGAATCTCGGACGATTCAGAGCGTAGTGAACAAAATCCAGTATTGTTTCTCGTTCCTGGAACATCGACTCTGTGGGTAATGTATACGGCACAGCCGGCTGGAAACCAAGACAAAGCCGTTGTGCGATACCGTGTGTCATCGGATGACGGCCAAACATGGAGTTTGGCGCAGAATCTTTTCAATGATGAAGGGCTCTTTATTAGACAGCCAGTCACTGTTCTGGACGATGGTACCTGGGTGCTCCCAGCGTGGTACTGTCGCAATCCTCCTGGCTTTCGCTGGGTCGGCTCAGATGATATCTCCGTTGTCAAGTACACGAGAGATGGCGGAAAGACTTGGCAAGAGAAAGAAGTTCCCAAATCAACAGGGGCTGTACATATGAACATCAAAAAGCTCCTTGATGGCTCGTACATTGCTTTCTATCGCTCGCGGTGGGCAGACAACATCTACATGTCGACATCCACCAACTGCATCGATTGGACGGAACCTAAGCCCACAACCCTTCCGAACCCAAACTCTGGTATCTGTTTCGAGGTTTTATCCGATGGTCGTCTAATCATAATTTATAACGACTCTCAGTTCGAGGAAGGCCAGGCAAAGCGCGAGGGCCTTTATGACGATATCACTCCCGAAGACGATAAACGTATCAACCAGCGTGGTTCGACCAAGGATGCTATATGGGGAGTACCTCGTAAGATGATGGCCGTAGGTGTGAGCAGTGATGGAGGTAGGACGTGGAAGAATAAGACATTGCAAGAAGGCGATGGATTTTGCATGACAAACAACTCGCGAACAAAGGAGAATAGAGAACTCAGTTATCCCAGCATCTGGGTGGATAGGGATGGAAAAGATGTCGTGAACATTGCATTTACTTTCTGGAGACAGCGGATCAAGTTCATTCGTTTCGATGCTGACTGGGTAGATAGCTAGAACGTTACATTTTTGTACATGGATACAATGTCGGAACTAGTAACCAAAACTCGCATCACTCATTAGCAGAATCACGAATAATAAAGCAAGGTATATCATAATTGTTTGATAAACTTCATCAGAGAAACAGAAGTCCCGTCAAACGACATCGACATCGTATAACTGGCCGACGGTCTCTGATATTGTTTTTTGTCCTCTAATTTTGGGATGTCACATATGCTTTGATACTTCTGATGGACACAGCTTCCTAGGCATGTTCATTTTCATCCATTCATTTCATTAGCCAGGAGCTGCGGTTGCACTTTGCTTGGGGGGTTACTTTCACGCATGTCAAGCTTTCACCGGAAAGTATTAACAACACTATCGATAACTATCATAACGACTACGGGAGCTGAGTTAAAGATACAAATATACAGTTTCCCGCTTGTATCGGGTTTTTAATGGTTTTGAATGCCATTTGTAGTGTTTTGGTGGTGTTGCATCGCGCACTGTGTGCATTGTCTTGGTGGGGCAGCAATGTCCAGATATTTAGCTCCGCCGAGAGGCACGTAATGCATCGTATGCACAGTGTGCGGCGGGTAATAAGAGGTGCTCCTGTTTTTAGGCGTTGAGATCGTCATTCGGGGAGAAGTCCGGTGTGGAGCTAGTTACACCACGGGGAGGTTGCCCGACGCTGAGAACACCGAAAAACGCACCCTTCGGACCAGCGCGGAGAATCCATCTTCTCCCCGCATGTGGGGTTTATCGAGAAAGTGTGCCAAAAGAGTGACAGATTGGCGCAGACAGGCTCAAAGAGCGAGGGTCTCGTTTCCGATGAGGACACACTGAGCAAAGTTCCAACCACCAAACCCTTTTCACTCTTGACATTTCTGTCCTAAAGATTTTATATACAAGTTTCTTTGATCTAAGGAAATACTTCAAACAGTATGAGGAATCCCTGTCTGTCATTTGAGGACGTGAGAGCGCACAATAGCCGCGAAAGTTGTTGGGTTGTCATTAAGAATCAAGTTTGGAATGTGACCGATTTCCTCACTTCGCATCCTGGAGGAGCAGATAGTAAGCTGTCAACTTCAATTTCTGTAAATGTTTTGTAAGATCTCTTTAACAATTTGTAGCTATTCTCAGGTATGCAGGTCAAGATGCGACTGAAATCTACAACGAAATCCACGCCCCAGGGATGCTCGAGGAAACACTAGCGCGAGAGAAATTAATTGGCGATATCCTCCCATCAAGCGAAAACCCGCGTGAAAGCACATTAGAAGAAACAGCGGATGCCAAATCTAAACCTAAGCCCCCAATATCTACTCGACTTGAATCTGTCGATGCACTTGCGAAGATACCTTTCGTTTACGAGAAACCAAATCTCCGTTCGGTCATTTCTGCCGCTGATTTCCAAGAAGTCGCCCGCCATACATTGACGCCCAAGGCCTGGGCATTTTATTCCAGCGCTGCAACCGATCTCGTAACACATAAAATGAACAAAGAGATGATAAGACGAATCATGTTCCGACCGCGTATCCTCCGCGACGTCAAGACTGTTTCCATCAAGCGTAACGTCTTAGGGTGCGAGTCGTCAGCACCATTCTTCATATCACCCGCAGCTATGGCGAGACTGGCACATCCGGACGGTGAGCTTGCTTTGGCCAGAGGTGCCGCAAATGAGGAAATTGTGCAATGCATAAGTAGTAACGCGAGTTATCCTCTCGCCTCCATTGTCAAGGCCGGAAAAGAAGGGCAAACATTCTGGTTACAGCTATACGTCAACTCTGAGCGAGTCAAAACTGAGGAGTTGTTGCGAAAAGCGGCATCTCTTGGCATTAAGGGCATATTTGTTACCGTTGATGCTCCAGTCCCAGGTAAGCGCGAAGCAGATGAGCGCATCGCCGCTGAAAGTGTCGCGAGCGCTATATCCGGTGCGGTTGCAAGTAATGACAAAAAGGGCGGTGGTATGGGCCGGTTGATGGCGGCCTATGTAGAGAAGAGTCTAGTTTGGGAAGATATCGCGTGGATTAAGAGAGTTTCCGGCTTGCCTGTAGTCCTCAAAGGCGTGCAGAGCGCTGCAGATACGATCATGGCCGTGCAATTTGGAGCAGAGGGTGTCTTCCTCAGCAATCATGGCGGTCGATCGCTGGACGGGTAAGCCGCTGGTCTGACAAATTTTCTAATTTCAAGCTAAGACATTATCAGAGCTCAACCGAGTATTCTAGTATTATTGGAACTTCATCGCATCTGTCCAGATGTGTTTGATAAACTCCATATTTATATCGATGGCGGGTTTGAACGCGGCTCAGATATCCTCAAGGCGATTGCTCTAGGTGCCACCGCTGTCGGAGTGGGTCGCCCGTATCTGTATTCATTGACGTATGGTACGGAAGGTGTTGAACATCTTACGCAAAGTAAGTTCATGTATCCTGTCATTTCCCAGGAACTTATTCTCAAAACGTGAAACAGTCCTCAAAGATGAACTCGAGACATCCATGCGCTTATGTGGTCTCACGGATGTTAATCAAGCACATCCTGGCCTAGTGAATACACGGGATATCGATCACTTGGTTGCATCATATTTGGATGAGCATCCATACATTCGATGGAAACCTAAAGCCGCACTGTAGTCTCTTTGTCCAGATTACTGCCAAAGGTAGCTGTGCGTCTCGGCCAATAAATCTGCAAGGACTGGAGCTCATGTGATTGTATTTTTGTATGCATAGAGTAGTTTGAATACTCTCAGCCAAAATATGTCAAAACCGTTTCTGAGGTGCTTTTCTCAAGCCGAAATGCTTAAAAGCATGAACGAAGTGACATTTCTCACTCTCATTGTTGTTCATTTTGCATTCCATAGAAATATACCTCTCTTGATACAATGCACAGTCTGCAATTGAGATGTGTGAGCATAAAGAAAGGCTTGAAAATAACATGCTACCTGTAGGAAACTACATCGTTGCATTTCCTCATGTATTGGGAAAATCACCGAACACACCGACGCAATGTTCCGCTATCGCTGGTACCTTCTGCTCCGTCGTACATGTTGCTTTGTAACACACGCAAGTAGAAGATATTCCTATAGCCTGGCTTACTTCCTGGCAAAGCCGCAGTAGGTAATCAGTTTGCGCGTAGTTTCCTGCCAGAGTCCTTGTAGCAGCGTTATGAGATGGGGTAAATTATTACTATTATTGAACTATCAACAATGAAAGGAGAGAAAAGTTCAGCCATCTTTTACTTAGTTGTTCCAAAGCTCAGGAGCACTAAAAGTGATAGTAGCGTTCGCCAACTTGGTCGCAATGTTCAGACGTGGAACACCTGGCCAGAAATTCGGAAAATACTCATCGCCCACCGCATTCGTGTCCTGGCCCTCCTCCAC